ACCAAAACTTGATCCAACCAAGCTAATTGTCTGTTAAACCTAAAGCATCAACATTCTTCGGAGAATTATAATATAATACAGAGTCTGCAACATAACATCCAAAAATTGCAGGATGTGATACAAAATTACTTGTTATATGAAGAGTCAGGAAACTCTGACAAATTCTCAAAGGAAAAGACAGTCAACTATGCCAACCCCGAGGTGACTCAGATGGAGGAACTGTCAGACAAGAACTATATGCAGCTGTTATAACTATGATCAGTACGGCAGAAGGAAATCCAAGCAGATAAATTGAAAAATTTAAAAAGAACCAAGCGGAAATTTTAAAAGTAAAAAATACAGTATCTGAAGTAAGAATTCAGGAAGGAACAAGCCATGAATTTTCATATATGTGAGCAAATAAATTTTTTTTTTAACATTTTTGGAATTGGGTTTTCTGTCTTTCTTTCTTCCTTAAAAAAAAAAAAAAAAAAAAGACAGGATCTTGCTGTGTTGTCCAGGCTGGATTCGAACTCCTGAGCTCATGCAATCCTCCTGTCTCAGCCTCCTGAGTAGCTGGGACTATAGGTGCACACCACCACAGATGGCCTGAATTGAGTCTTCTATTTCTTGCAGTTTAAAGATTCCTGACGATATATCCACTTGAGACTATGCTTTTGCTAACGTTAGTGTTGGCTGCTAGGCAACTGCTTAGAGCCTTGCTACTCAGAGTGTGACCTAAGAGCCAGCAGCATGAATGTGACCTGGGACTTGTTAGAAATAGAGTCTCATGCCCCAGCCCAGACCTACTGAATTGGAACCTCTCTGCATATTAACAGCATCCCTGGGTGATTTGCATGCATATTCAGATTTGAAAAGCTGATACAGAGAAAATCAGAATCACCAGCAGATTTCATTTTATAGGATAAACAGTTAAAGAGCAGTAGGCTATTAGATGGAAGGAAATCTTCTGATTAGAAAGGTAAAAACAGGCCGGGTGCGGTGGCTCATGCCTGTAATCCTAGCACTTTGGGAGGCCAAGGTGGATGGATCACATGAGGTTAGGAGTTCAAGACTAATCTGGCCAACATGGTGAAATCCTGTCTCTACTAAAAATACAAACATTAGCCGGACATGGTGGTGGGTGCCTGTAATCCCAGCTACTCAGTAAGCTGAGACAGGAGAAGCGCTTGAATCCAGGAGGTGAAGGTTGCAGTGAGCTGAGATCACGCACTGCACTCCAGCCTGGGTGACAGAGTGAGACTTGTATCAAAAAAAAAAAAAAAAAAAAAAAAAAAAGATTAAAACAATCCACAAAAGAAATAAAAATCGCTTGAACCCAGGAAGCGGAGGTTGCAGTGAGCCAAGATCAAGCCACTGTACTCCAGTTTGGATGACAGAGCAAGATTCTGTCTCAAAAAAATAAAGAAATAAAAAATAAATAAAAACATATCCACACACAAAACAAATATTTTTGAGCACCCTTCCGCCAGGTGGGAGACTCATTAAGTGATCAAAACAGACAAAAGCCTCAGCCTTCATGAGGCTTATATTTTGCAGGGGCAGGTAGGCAGACAAAAACCACATAAAAACCTATGGTATGTGAGATGGTGATGAGTGCTAAGAGACAGGGAAGGGGCTAAGAAGTGGGCTTTTTTTTTGTTGTTGGTGTTTGTTTGTTTTGTTTTTGCTTTTGTCTTATTCAATTTTAAACAGAGTGGCCAGAGAAGGGCTTGCTGGGATGTTTAAATAAAATCCTGAGGAGGAGTTCAATGACCAACCAGCATTTTTTTTTTTTAAAGGTTCACCTCACTAACAATTCAAGAAATGCAAATCCAAGCAATAAAAATAATCAGTTGTTCACCCATCGAATCTAATCAGCAAGGATTACAAGGAATGCTAAAACCTATAGCCTGTGAGGTTGGGGGTAAAATACACACCTTTCAACCCCGGAATGACATGTTTAGAAATGTAGCCTAAGGAAATAAGCATGGATGTGTGCAAAGATTCAGCTCTAAGTGAGACACTTGTGGTCTCTCCACTATGATTTCCTTCCATGGATATTAAACTAATTTGGCAACAAGCAAGAAAAACAGAAAAATACACTTTATGTTTCTGCAAACTGTGTCCCCTTCTTCATCCTGTTTCCAGAACCAGAAGACCAGGGGGTGTGATGATGGAACTACCATGTAGTTACACAGTACCACAGCAAAGATGGGTGAGACAGCTGGGGACAGGGGAAGAAAGGAGAGCCCTAGTCTGGGAACGATTTAGGAGGGGGACTCCCTCACAGGGCTCCTGGTTGGTCATGGGATTGAAGGTGCAGAAGCAGCAGAGTCAGGGTGACTCTGGGAATTGGGCCTGGGAGCTAGAAGAAGGGTTGGGGAGGAATATAGGGCCAGGAAGAGGTCTGGGAGGAAGGCAGCATAGATGATGAGCTTGATGTGGGCTGTGTTGAGTTACCAGTGTCCGAGGGACAACCTGAAGAAGTGTCAGGAGCCGTGGATGGACTAAGGGCTTGGGAGGCAGTGCAAGAACCAGGGAAAAGAGTGCCTGCTTTGGAGTTGGACAAATTGGGCCTGCCCCAACTGCCTTCTGGCCACGTGACCTTGGGTGCATCGCTGAACTGTGCTGCATTCCAGCTTCCTCATCTCCAAAATGATGATGATGATCATGTCTCCCTCAGCAGGTGTTGTCAACACTGGAGGTAGAAGGTGATGGGATCTATTCAGAGTTCCCAGAAGGGAGTGTCACAGAGCAGGAATTCAGTACACCGTAGCTGTTAGATGTTAAACATTGCTTTAGCTCTTTTTCATGTGGCTCCTGCTTTTCTCTCCTCCCTCTTTTGGGCCGTCCCTCTGCCTGGAATGCCCTTCACTTTGCTTTGGAATTTGCAAGCTTTTCCTACCCCCCTCCTCTTCCTCCAACCCATTATGTATGATCAGGTAAACATGAAGTAACGCATGGGATGGGGGTCAGCCTTAGACCGAGCAGGAAGAGACAAAGGTTGAGGCTGGGAACCTGCAGAGTGACTAAGGATGGGTGGAGGCGGGTCCAGAAAGAAGTCAGGGAGAAGGAGGAAAGCCAGAAAGGGTGGACCAGGATGCTAGGAAAGAAGAGCGATCCAAGGAGGGTATGATCCACAGTGTGAAGCTCATGTAGGAGGACATCAAGCAAGTCAAGGCCTGACCCATGCCCATTAGATCTGGAAATGGAGAGGCTGGAGCCTTGGATTTGAGGGAGTGGTGGAGACAGGAATCAGGGTAGGAAAGGGGGAGGCAGGAATGAGGGGTGAGGAGGCAAAGCCAGCAAGTCGGGACAAGTATGAAGGGAACGAGAGAAAAGGGGTGCTCGTCGGGGGCACCAGGGTTGAAGGAAGTTTTGTTTTTTTTTTTTCATTTTAAAGGTGGGTGATTCTCGAGAACATCTTTAAAGGCTGTGAGAAGAGCTGAAGCCAGAGCAGGGAGGTGTGCTAACGGTTTAAGACACAGAGCAATCCTTTTGATGAGGAAGCAGGAAGGTCTTTAGTCCTTCCCTTTCACCTTGGCACTCGCCCTGGAATTTTCTTTCACTTCCTGAGAACACATCTAGTCTCAGCAGTTTTTCTTGAGCTTGAGTGTTTTCAGACCAGACAACCACATTAGTCCAAGAGTCTCAAGAAGTCCCCCCAGGGAACATGATTGATTATGTTTTGTGCTAAGCTCAAATGATACACAAGCCTGTTTCCAAATGGATGACCGTGATAAGGTCCTTATCACCTCATCCAAGGTCAACAAAGCACATGCAAAAGTACCTGCCCTGAATCCAGTAGTGGGGTCTGGGGTCAGGGGCTGGGCGGGGGGGAGGTGCTCAGGTGACAGCAACTTGAACTGAGAGTAAAATAGGAAAATCCACATGCTCCTACTTAAAAGTTTCAACAGATTCCAGATGGAGACACCAGTGATGGAGTCAGTGGGTATAATTTGAGGTTAACTGTGCTGCAAATAGTCTTTCTTTTAATGATGAATGAAATGTTGTCTTTTAAAAGCAAACTTGGGAAGATAACTTCTGCATAGATTATCCTGAACTTATGCCACATAAGAAATTGACTTTGTTTAATGGCAAAAATAATGGCTGAAACACACAGGTACTCAAATTCTCCCTCCTGGTTTCACGTACAAAATCACCTAGGAGAGGCAGGGATCAGTCCTGGTAATTTTTTCTTAGGGACCCCTTTTTCTTCTCAGCCTGAGATGTCATAGATTTCCTTCAGGTCAATATCAGGCATCCCAAATCTGTGCCTAGTTCTGTGTGCTTAGATCCTGCTCCTTCCTGAGCTTTCCCTGGTTGAGACCCCTGCACACCAATTTCTCTGCCCTTACGTCTGCCCAGCCACTGTCACTGTCTTTCACTCACCAACTTGGGCCAGTCTTTACCGTGTCCGGAGATGGGTTATAGCTTCACCCTCAGGACTCGTGGCTGCCACACCAGCTGGTCACAGCCCTCAGCCAGGATCACCACTGTGGGGGCTCCTTTAGCCACTCTGCTCTTCCAGTGCCACAGGGGGCAGTGAGGCGACTGCTATGCTTGGCAGACCGACAAACTGCTGGCACTTGCCTGCGAGGATAAGCTCATGCCGAAGCATCTTCCTTGACGGTTGCCAAGGGTATGCTCCTGATTGGACACATGGGCTCATTGGCTTTGGGGCTTCCTGGGAACACATCTTGAATATTAGCCTATTCGGCACCATCCTGGGTCCTGCAGGGGGTGGTGGAAGGAGCAAGGGCTGTGGCCAGACCCAACTGGGTGAGGTCCTGGATCTGTGTCTTCCCATCTCTGAACCTCACAGGGCGACACGATTATGTATGACGCAGGCTCAGCACTTCACATACAATCAGCATTCAACAAGCATTGGTCCCTTTCCTCCTGCCTTCTGTCCCACCACATGATCCCAACATGATCAGGTTAATTTCCTGGAAGGGGAATGCACCAGGCTGCCTTCCGCTTCGGTCTCCTGGCGAGGAGCAAGTGAGGGTTGTTACCTGCTTGTTTGATGCTTGAGATTTCTTCGGCGGGGGCTCCTCCTTAATGGGTCCCTGCTTTCCTTTTTTGACCTTCCGTTTCAGCTCATCCTCTTCCTTTTGTCGCTCCAGCTCCTGCTGTAGCTTCTTTTCTTGCATTTCCTTTGCCAGCCTCTCCTGCTCCCTTCATCAAACCAGGCAGAGAAAAAATAGTTCAGGGGCCCCCATGCCTCACCCCTCCGCTGCCTGGGACTTCCAGGGGGAGGGACATTGGGCAGAGCTTTCTTGAGCTTAAAAAGAAAGAACAAAGCAAGCTGGATAAGTGGAAGGAAAGGAGAAAGGAAGAGAAGGAAAGAAAGAAAAAATGACTCTCATCTATGTTTGAATGGTCATTCAGCAAGACTCTGATTCACTGAAAATCAACTAGGAGGAATTCTCCATTAATCTGTATTTCGAGTCCAATTTCCTCTCATAGGACAGTGAGAAAAAGGCTGAAAATAAGCACGATATTAGCCCTTAAAAAAAGCAACTTTCAAAGATTGTTCTGGTATTAGTGCAGATGAGGCCTGCCTCCCATAGCTGAACATGTTTGCTGTTCAGACAATAAGACATTTTTTTTTTTTTTTTGACAGAGTCTTGCTCTGTCACCCAGGCTGGAGTGCAGTGGTGCAATCAGCTCACTGCAACCTCTGCCTCCCGGGTTCAAGCGATTCTCCTGCCTAAGCCTCCTGAGTAGCTGGGATTACAGGTGTGTACCAACATGCCCAGGTAACTTTTGTATTTTTAGTAGAGACAGGGTTTCGCCATGTTGGCCAGGCTGGTCTCGAACTCCTGACCTCAGGTGATCCTCCTACCTTGGCCTCCCAAAGTGCTGAGATTACAGGCATGAGCCACTGCGCCCAGTCCGAAACAGTATTTTCAAAGCAGTCTCTATGGTGGCTAGCTTAGAGCCATGGTGCATAGTCTGAAAGCCGTGTTCCCCTCCTCCACCCTCTTCTCTTTCTGCTGTCATTCAGCTGCTCCTGCCCCTGCTGCTGACAGCAGAGAGTGGACCAAAGCCAAGCACCAAGCACAAACAAGTGAGGGAATAGCACTTCTGAAAATAGTTAACCCAGCTGTTTTCATCCAGGAATTCCTAATTGTTTCCGGTTGCCATGGCTCTCTGCCCACTGAAGCAAACTCATTTACTTCATGTGGTGTGTGTGTGTGTGTGTGTGGTGTGACACAAACAAATTGTTGCTGCACTTTGAGACTCAAATTTGCATTTTCCAGGTCCACTATGAGATGAATGTCTGAAAGCAACAGCCCTGGTGAAAAAGAGGAGTTTTTTCTAAAGTCTCAAAGCAAGGCTTTCTGTAAGTCTGGAGGACTGGGCATTTCTATAGTGGACCATGCTGCAGAAAGATTAGGGCACACCCGGCTGGGCGCTGTGGCTCACGCCTGTAATATCAGCACATTGGGAGGTTGAAGCAGGCGGATCACTTGAGCCCAGGAGTTTGAGACCAGCCTGGCCAACATGACGAAAACCTGTCTTTACAAAAAATACAACAAAATTAGCCGGGCATGGTGGTGTGAGGCAGGAGAATTGCTTGAACCCAGGAGGTGGAGGTTGCAGTGAACTGAGATTGCGCCACTTGAGGTGTGATGGAGGCACTCCAGCCTGGATGACAGAGCGAGAGTCCATCTCAAAAAAAAAAAAAAAAGATTAGGACGTACTGTAGGGGCAGGGAGGGCAAAAGCTGTTTCAGGTCAGTGGGAGAAGTGTGGAGCTGGAGGAGAGGAGAGAAGTGGGTAAATAGTAGGTGGGTATCTAGGCTCTGTACCTCCAGTGCCTGAAATCCTAGGGAGGAGGTAGGCAATAGAACCACTACCCCCCACCCCATCCCTGCAATCTTTGAAGATCTGAGGGCAGAAAGGACACATGATCCACTGTCCCCGTCCCTCTGAGATAGTCCTAAGTATCCTGGGCACTAGGAGGCATGCGGGGATCGAGTGGTTTCTGTGTGGTTCCCAGTGAGGGGTACAGAAAGTGGCTGAGGGTGTTGGCTTGTGAGCCTGCCCACGGTCCCAGGATCGAGGATCTGCCCAGGCCGAGGATCTCTCCCATGGCAGTTAGACCTCGGGGAATGGGCAGCACCACCCAAGGCCAAGAAGGGGACCCAGGCAGGGGGAGGAAGGGCTGAGATTTGGGGAGCAGTCACTATGCCCAGGTCAGGAGAGTGGACCCTGGATCACCAGCTGTGGACACTGAAGCACCGAGGCAGAGAGCACAGAGGCTGATAATCCACACCTGGGGGCGCTGGTCAGGAGGGTCAGCAGGGGCCCCAGGGCAGCGCAAAGGCCAGTGGCCCCTCTCCCAGGGCCGCCCGTGACATTACAGCCTGGTCTCAAATGCCCTCCAGTGGGAAGTAAGGACAGTGGGAGAAACCCTGAATGGTACAGCAACCAGCACCCTGGATGGGCGGGATGTGTCTTTCTGCTCCTTGCAGGTCACCTTCCAGGGCTTTCTGCAGCTACTGCTTCCCCCCTGGAAGATGGCTTGGGCTCACACCCCAGTCCTGGTCACTCTGTGGGGACGGTCCCGGGGGAATGGCTTCTGCTCTGGCCAGCCCTTGGCCCTGACCTCTTCTTCCGCTCCCGGAGCGCCTGCTGAATCCCCTGATTGAATGTGAGTTTCTCCTCCTCGGTCAGGGCATCATATTCTTCCTCATCCATGTTTTGGAGACGCTCCTTCTCTTTCTCAAGAGCTTCCTTGTGCTTGCGTTCTGTGAGGACCACAGAGACGGGAAGGTGAGGAAAAGTCCTTCCCACTCTCGCTAGCAGCCTAAGCAGGTGAAGGAGGGTCTTAGTGTGGGGCAGCTGGTGTGGCGCCTGGTCTGCCTCCTCCCTGGTTGCGGGGGTGTGGGGTCCCTTCATGAAAGCACTTCCACATTTGGGTTCTGTCTGCAGGTGGCTGAACAGTGGCCCCCAAAGATGCCCATATCAGATTACTCAGAACCTGTGACTGTGTTGTCTTCCATAGCAGAGAGACTCTGCAGATGTGATTAAATTAAGGATCTTGAGGTGGGCTGATTATCTTGGGGGGCCCAGTCTAATTATAAGGGTCCTTTCGAGGGAGGCAGGAGAGTCAGTCAGAGATGGTGATGATGTGATAGTAGGAGCAGGGGTCAGAGGGCTGCAAGGAAGGGGCCCGAGCCAAGGAGTGCAGGAGGCCTCTAGAAGCCAGAAAAGACAAGAAAAAGGGGCTACCCGACAGCCAAAAAAGGAATGTGGCCCTGCTGAGAAAAATCTGGAGCAATGACCAGGCATCCCTCAGCAGTCATCCAGCCTCCAGCTGCCTAGTTTTCCAGAAAGTTCATTTCTCCATAATGATCCACTTGAAAATAATTACCACTTCTCATTTTCCCCATGATCTTTGGAATGAAATTTCTCCTGGTTAAATTGTGGGCTCTTCTCCCCTAAATCATCTGCATTTGAAATGTCCTAAGATAGCATACAGTCATACTACTATTATATTAAAATCTCATGTTTGTTGAACATGTATGAACATGCTGGGCACTGGGGAAGGCACTTTACATGATCGCTTATTTAATCTCCACAATAGCCCTATAAGGGAGGAGTTATCATTCTTATCTGTGATTATCCCTTAATAAGTGGCAGGGAAAGATGTTAGGACTTCTGACCCCGGAAGTGTAAGACAATAAATTTCTGTGTTGTGTTAAGTAACCAAGTTTGTGGTTGCTATGGTGTAAATGTTTGTGTCCCCTTGAAATTCCCACGTTGAAACTGAATTCCCCAAGGAGATGGTATTAAGAAGGGCCTTAGGGACGTGACTAGGTCACAAGAATAGAGTCCTCATGACTGGGATTAGTGGCCTTATAAGAGGCCTGAGGGAGCTTGTTTCAGGACTTAGTGAGATGCTTTCTGTGACCAGAAGGTGACCTCGCCAGACACTGTTTCTGTTGGTGCCTTGATCTTGGACTTGCCAGCCTCCAGAACTGTGAGAAATAAATGTCTGCTGTTGATAAGCGACCCAATCTATGAAATTTTGTTATGGCAGTCTGAACAGACTCAGACAGCGATCATTTGTCACAACTATGATAGAAGACTCATACACCACCCACTGACTTGACTCATTATGAGCATATGCCACTAATGGGCTCATGGTGACAGGGCCATTTGCACACCAAGGGGAATCCCCTTTGTGGCCCTACAGATTCCAGGTCCAGGCATGTGATTGACACTTAGGACAAAGGCACCAGCTTCTTCCTCACACCTCCCTAGCACAGCATTCTCACCATCATCCTTGCAAGTTTGAGCTGTGGACTCAGACACCTGCATTTGAGTTTCTTCCCTGCCACTTACCAAGGGATAATCACAGATAAGAATAGTAACATAGGGCCGTTGTAGAGATGAAATAAGCTATCATGTAAAGTGCTTTCCCCAGTGCCTGGTGTGTTCATAGATGTTCAATAAGCATGAGATTTTAATGTATTAATAGTGTGACCGTATGCCATATTAGGACATTTCAATTCAGATGATTTAGGGGACAGGAGCCCACAATTTAACTGGGAGAAATTTCATTCTGAAGATAAGTGGGAAAAGGAAAAGTGGTAATTATTTTCAAGTGGATCAGTATGGAGAAATGAGCTTTCTGGAAAACTGTGCAGCTGGAGGCTGGATGACTGCTGAGGGATGCCTGGTCACTGCTCCAGATTTTTCTCAGGATGAGACTATAAGGAAGCTGACTTTGAGTTCTGTTCAAGGACTGAGACAGCTCAGTGTTTGTAAGTATTTCCTTAATTGGAAAAGCATTATGAATTGAGTAGATTGTGCTAGAAGGGAGCAGCAAGCCCGAGTAAGGAAGGGCAGTTGTGTGGCTGGAGCTGAGGCTCCCAGGAGGTGGGGCTCTGACTCCCGTGGACAGCGCCACCCACCTCTGTCCCTCAACCCCTGCCCTGGGGGACCAAGATTTGCTGGAGCTGCTTCTGACTACATTGGGAACTTAAGCTAACATTACTTGTATGCGTGTGTACCTATCTTTCAAGCAAATCTTTCGGTTATTAAATTTTTTCCCAGGCCATTGGTATAATGATAGGAAAAGCAACGGGTTTAGAATTAAAAGGACCCAGTTCTCCTACTAATTGGCAATGTGATTTGACACAAGACTTTTGCTATCTCTGAGCTATATTCTCCTTTTCTATAAAATGGGGACAAGATTCACAGGGTAATTGTGAGGATTAAATGCCCCAAAGTATACAAAATGTCTGCTACAGTGCCTGGTGTGCAGCAGGCTAAGGTGTAAAAGCACCGTGAGTTTTATAAGAAATGCACAGTTGGCTTAAACAAAACCAACAAGGAAATCAGTTGCTTCAGTCAGATCTGTAATGGCTGTAATTGCAGAAACCATGGAGGGGTACAGTGTGATGGGAGGGAAGCAGGAATGCACCTGCTGTCAGCAGAGTGTTCATCACAGAACCTCCCAACTAGCCACATGAGTCCCAGTTCCCTCCCAGCAAAGCAGAAATACAAACTCCTGGCCACCTTACAGGGCAGAGGTGAGGCGCCAATGGAATAGCAAATGTCAAAGTTTCATTTAAGCCCAATGGGAAGGTGGGAGGCCTTGCCTTCTTGCTCCTTTTTGGCTTTCTCCTGGGCCTTCATGGCTGCATAATCCTGGGCCATGTTGAGAACGTATATATGCTCCCGGCTGCCAATGGCCTTCAGCAGGCAGAGGAGGGCAGCCGCGGCATTCCGAGCAAAGAGAGTGTCGAGGCCATCAAACACCACTCCTCGGTAGCAGTCACTCAGCTGAAACCAGAGACAGCAAAGACAGTTACTACGGCCACAACCTCATTTGTTCTGTTTATGCTTTTACGGGGGCTGCAAAGGGTTCTGCAGACCTACTTGGCCCCGATGCAAGCACCATGCCTTTCTGCTTGCTAAATCCAAGGTGCTATCATAAAATAAAAGAGAAGAATAAAAGTGTTTAATCAGTCAGTCTTTTTTCTTTTTTTTTTTGAGACACAGTCTCCCTCGGTCACTCCAGCGCCCAGGCTAGAGTGCAGTGGCACAATCTTGGCTCACTGCAACCTCTGCCTCCCGGGTTCAGATGATTCTCCTGCCTCAGCCTCCCAAGTAGCTGGGATTACAGGTGCCCACCACCATGCCCGGCTAATTTTTGTATTTTTAGTAGAGACGGGGTTTCACCATGTTGACCAGGCTGGTCTCGAACTCCTGACCTCAGGTGATCCACCTGCTTCGGCCTCCCAAAGTGCTGGAATTACAGGTGTGAGCCACTGTGCCCAGCAGGATGGTTTTTATTGTACCTACTTGTAGAGTAAAGGGTTTATTCTGTCTGTAGAAATAAATGAACAAACAAAAATGTTAAAGGGCCGGTCTGTGAAGATCCATGAGGTACACAAAAATGAGATGAAAAGGGAAAGATGTTCCCAAGCACAGAGTCACAGGCAGCAGGGGCAGCAGCGGATGGGCCTTTTGTATTTTTCTTAGTGGTCTTACTGCCTTGGAGTGTAATGATTTTGGTAACAGTAACCATTGGAGAACAGCCTCTGCCTTACTCAGTGTTACTCAGAGTGTAGCCGTAGCCCAGCCACCAATGAATGAGCATTAGGTTTTCAATGACACAAGAAGCTTGTGTCAGAATGTAAATGACCTATATCACTAAACACACTATTTGGTTCAGCTGGCAACTGAACAGGTACCATGGCTACATCATTCCTTCTCTGCGGCTAAACTTTGTAGCAAGACTTTGTGGATGAAAGAAGCCCTGTAAGCTCCATGTGTCATCAGAGACCAGCACTTTGAGTAGCACAGCTCCACCGGCTGACTGTGGGGCCTTACCAGCGTTTCTCAGCCTTTACTCTGGGTATCTGAAACATTGGCACGCTTATGGGAACACCTTGTTCAAATCAGTTGAGAGTGATGTGCCTTTAATGTAGCAGCAGTGCAAATCTTCACATAAAAACTTTCTTGTGATGATATTCCTCCCCTTCTGGGAACCTCAAGTTAATTTTGTTGTATTTAAATGTGCAGTTAATATTGTGGCCCTAGTTGAAGACACAAAGCAAACACCCAGCTCCAGGACCTGGTAAGCAATGTAGCTGTGTCTGCAAACCATGAGCAGAAACAGGCTTCAGTGATACCCTCCTCAATCCTGCTGATCTTATTTTCTTGTCTTTAACTGTAGAATTCTTACGGAAAAAATTTAAAACTTGGAAAAGAGTGTTACTGTTTCTCTGACTTTAAAAGCAATATGTTACTGTAAAATAATTCAGAAATGTATAAAGAAGACTAAAATTCTATAATCCTGCTACCCAAAGATAACCAGTTAACATGTATTTTAAGTTTTTACTATGTGTGTAGTATACATTTATAAATATTTACATAGAATGTTACTATGTTTCAACCACTGTTTCCCAGTTACTTCCTTTTCACTTAGTAACACTGAAAATGTGTTTTGGAAGCAATTAACATAGCTCCAAATTCGCACTTTCAGAATGGCTCCACATTGTAAGTTTTAACACATCGCTCTGCTTCTGGTCATTAAAAAGTGTTTGTGTAGTCTTCTCCTCTCTGGTCCTTTAAGAAGGTGAATGGCCTCAGGCTGCAGACTGAGCCAGGGCCAGGGACTGACAAGAGCTGTCAGAGAGCTGCCGTGGTGGCTGATGGCCCAGAACCTCTGTCCGGTGCGCGGGGATGGTGTGTGAGCGCCAAGCCCTGCAGCTCTGTGCAGGCGGCATGGACCCACCTGTATCCGCTCGGCCAAGATCTGCACGAGAAGTTCATCCGGGAGCACACAGCTCATCAGCCCGGTCTCCCCTCCGACACTGGGACTGACACTGAGCCGGCGGTGGGTGGGTCCCGGCAGGAGAGGGCTGGAGGAAATCTGTTGAGTGGGAGAAGGATCAGGAGTTAGAATCCGGCCTTGTATCTCAACAACGCCTACACTTACCAGCCACAGGACCTTGGGAAGATCACATAATCTCTCATTTCCTCATCTGTACAATCGGAATTGCATTATAAAATGGAAGGATCCTGTCTACCTTAAAGAACCGCTGTAAGTTTCAAGTGGCAACAGTGTGGAAGGTACGTTGTTTGTGTACTGAACTGCATGCAGCTTTTCATTCATTCGACAGTTATTCACTGAGTACCCATCTTGCACCAGGCACGCTTAGGTACTAGGGATATAACAACAAACAACAGTGCTGCCCCTGGGGCCCTTTCATTCCAATGGAAGAGACAGAAAAGGCCACTTTCCTCCACAAATCAATACAATTTCAGAGAGTGATGAGTGCTAGGAAGGAAATAACCAGGTAATAAGGAACCATAACAGGGTTGGGGAATGACTCTGTAGAGAGGATGCTCATGTTACCCGGGTTATGTGAAAGAAAGAGACAAGATCTTGGGAGCAGAGCCTTTCTGGGAGGGGACAGCAAGCACTTTCAACGCGAGTGTGCTTGGGGAATCTGGGGGGGAAACAGAGCCCAGTGGGGCTGGAACTGAGTGAGCAATGGGGAAGATAGCAGGCTTCAGGTTAAAGATACCACAAAGGCCGGGCGTGGTGGCTCACACCTGTAATCCCAGCACTTTGGGAGGCCGAGGAGGGCGGATCACGAGGTCAGGAGATCGAGACCATCCTGGCTAACACGGTGAAACCCTGTCTCTACTAAAAATACAAAAAAATTAGCCAGGCGTGGTGGCGGGCGCCTATAGTCCCAGCTACTCGGGAGGCTGAGGCAGGAGAATGGTGTGAACCCAGGAGGTGGAGCTTGCAGTGAGCCAAGACCGCACCACTGCACTCCAGCCTGGGCAATAAAGTGAGACTCCGCCTCAAAAAAAAAAAAAAAAAAAAGACACCACACCGCCAGGACCAGAATATGCAGGGCCTTGTAGACCATGGTATTTTATTCCAAGTATTATGGGAAGTTGGTGTGTTTCAGCAGACAAATATTCTGATTTATATTTATGTTTATTTTATTTTATTTTCGAGATGGAGTCTCTGTCACCCAGGCTGGAGTGCAATGGTGCCACCTCAGCTCACAGCAACCTCCACCTCTCGGGTTTAAGTGATTCTCCTGCCTCAGCCTCCCAAGTAGCTGGAATTACAGGCGTGCACCACCACGCCTGGCTAATTTTTGTATTTTTAGTAGAGACGGGGTTTTGCCATGTTGGCCAGGCTGGTCTCGAACTCCTGACCTCAGGTGATCTGCCTCCCTTGGTCTCCCAAAGTGCTGGGATTACAGGCATGAGCCACTGCACCCAGCCTGATTTTTATTTTTAAAAGACCACCTTACCCATCACATGAGGTGACATGAGTCACAGGAAGATGTCACTGTGGTCAGGACAGGAGACGATGGCAACAGGGATGAGGATGGTGGTGGAGACGAGACGAAAATGGTGGTGGCAAGAAGCGGCTCATACAGGATGCGTTTTGGAAGTAGGGCCAGTAGGACTTCAGACGGAACGTAAAGAAAGAGGCATCAAAAAATGATTCCTTGAGTTTTGACCTTAGCAAGCTGGAAAACGGTGAAATTATTTATTGAGAAAGGAAAGACTGGGAGAAGAACAATTTTTGGGGAGCAGTGGAAGCAAGAATCACTTTTTGGATATAAACATTTTGAGATGCCTCTAAGCCCTTTGAGAGAGATTGAAAATGAATGTGGATACATGAACCTGCACTTGGGAAGAAATTCGAGCTGGCAATAGAATTTCGAGAGTCACAAACATGTTAAAGGTATTTAAATATTTAAGTAATGCAACTGACTGAGATCGCCTGCAAAGACAATGCAGGTAACAAAAAGTAGTAGTAGAAGACTTGGTCCTAGGCTACTCCAATGACCAGGAATTTGGAGATTGAGAAGCTGGGAAAGTAGAGGAAGGAGATGCTAATGAGGTAGAAGGGAAGGTGGAGGAGGGAAAGCCACATGAAGAAAGTGTTTCCAAGATGGGGGGCGATCAGCTGCCAAGAAGTCATGTGAGATGAAGACACAAAACTGACCTCTGGATTTGTCCAGGTGAAGACTGCCAAGGACCTTGAGAAGAGCAGCTGTGGAACGGTGGGGACAAAGGACCCAACGGAAGCAGTGAAAGAGAGGATGGGGGAGGGTGTGAGGATGGGGAGGCAGGCAATGCGGCAGTTCTTTGGAGGAACAGCAGAGGAGGGGAGCTAAGAGAGGAGGTAATAGGTGGAGGGGGATGTGGGGTCATGGGAAAGCATTTTTAATGATGGGAATAATAATACAGCATGCATAGATGCTGACGGGAGTAGAGTAGGGAGAAAATGGGAGACAGGAGACAACTGCAGGAATTTAGCCCTTGGATAAGAGAAGGGGTGGGGCCGGGTGCCCATGTGCAGGGATCGGCCCTGGGTGAAGGCAGGGCAGACACTCAGCTGTCGGGAAGGCACAGCCCCATGTGTGGACGGAGGCTGCTGGAAGAGTTGGTGGCCAGAAGATGAGGTCATTGTCTTCTGATTGCTGCAGCTTTCTGGCTGAAATCAGAAGAGGGATCATTGGCTGACAATGAGGAAGAGGAAAATATTTTGGAGGCTAGGAGAGTGATGAGAGCAATAAAGCAGTCATCTTGAATAGATGGAAGGCTGAGCCAGACCAGAGGGTCCACCAGAGACCTATGGTCTTAAATTTAAATTAAGATCCTGCAGGAGAGGTGAGAATCTTCCCCAGCTATGCTCAGCTGGTGTGCATGGAGTAGGTGGGGGATTAGGTTTGCCAGGGCTGAAGCTTTGCTTGAGAGTGTGGTGAAGGGCAAGTTGCAAGGGGGTGCTATGGTGGCAGACCATGGCATCCAGACTGGGTAAAGAGGGCATGAGGTGGGTGATAGGTAGTGAGGATGAGGACTGGAGGTTTCGATGGGGCCAGGTGTTTACCAGAGTTAGTCATCTGGAAAGCGAGAAGAAAGCTGTGGGAAAGCAGGACTGTGACACAGAGATCTTGGAGTTTATGGGTAGTGATGAACAATGTCTAGGATGTGGTCAGGGAGGTGAGTAGCTGCAGAGGCCATGAAATTGAGAAGCAAGAGCGTTGGATTGAATATCATTCAAAAGATCAGGATTTCTTACTGGTGCTTTCCTGGATAGAGGTGATATATAAATAAATGAGCTTATGGGCCACATCTTCATTATATAATATATTTACACATTTCTTCCCATTTGCAACATGACTGAAATATCAGTCATTGGAAAATTCATGCTTTATGAGAGCTTTAAGAAGACCAATCGCCATCTCCCTGGGTAAGTGCTTTCACAGGGGGACTCTGTTGTCCAGATCATTTGAGTCCTGTCACACTGGGCAGTGCAGGCACCACATGTGGGGTCTGTGAGCTGATTTCTACTGTGATCTTTAAGTTTCATTACTGAAAGGAGTTTGGAGTCAGAATTGGGGTGTTCTACTGCCTTTGAAGAATTCTAAAAAGCTTTACTTCCCTGTCCAGATGGACAGAACAAAACCAAAGGAAATGACTCTTGATAACACCCTATATGGTAACAGAGAAATGAGTTTTAGTTCATCCATAAACATCTGGGTAAAGAACACTCTACTGGATCCTGGAAAAGAGGGTGAAAAGGATAGTGCTCCAGAAGACAATGAATCAATGGCTTCTGTTTTCATGGTGTGAGAAAAACATAAGACTGAAGTGACAATAAGATATCACCTGGCACAAGTTCAGCCCTGTGGGCTGTTCCATCCAACCTTCAGGTCTCCTCTCCCTTAAAGACTTTTGCCTCTGCTCCATCCTCTTACCTGATCTAACATGTGGGCCTCCTCTCCTACAAGAACCTATATCTTTAATTTTATTTTTTATGTACTTTTTTTTTGAGACAGAGTCTTATTCTGTTGCCAAGGCTGGAGTGCAGTGGCGCCATCTTGGCTCACTGCAACCTCCGCCTTCTGGGCTCAAGTGATTCTCATGCTTCAGCCTCTCCAGAAGCTAGGATTACAGGTGTGCACCACTATGCCCAGCTAAGTTATTACTACTTTTTTTTTTTTTGTATTTTTAGTAGAGACGGGGTTTCATTATGTTGGCTAGGCTGGCCTTGAACTCCTGGCCTCAAGTGATCCACCCACCTCAGCCTCCCAAAGTGCTGGGATTACATGTGTGAGCCACTGCACCTGGCCTAAGGACCTACATCTTTATTCCACCCACCTGCTCTATCCAATTCACAGGTCTCATTTCCCATGAAGACCTACAACTCTTCCCCATCCATCTGCCCTTCCCAGTGGATAGGCCTCCTCTTCTACCAGGACTTTCACTTCTGCTCCATCCACCTCCCCGACTGTCCCTATAGCACTCTCAGGCTGTAACGAGATCCACCCCTAACCCTTCCTGTTTCTCCCATTCTATGTTCCTTCTTAATTCCTTCTCTACTGAGGCTGGGCTTCCTATACTGATGGCACCCTCAGCTCTCTTGCCCCCTGGTTCTAAGAGCACACCCCCTCTCCTCAAGGGTGGCATTCTTCTCTCTCCACTCCTGAATGGGAGCTGCCAGGTCCACTTAGAGAAATCTTGCCAGGTGTGGCGGTTCATGCCTGTAATCCTAGTGCTTTGGGAGGCAGAGCCAGGAGGACTGCTTGAGGTCAAGAGTTCAAGACCAGCCTGGGCAACACAGCAAGATCTCATCCCTACAAAAATTTAAAATATTAGCCAGGCATGGTGGGACATGCCTGTGGTCCCAGCTACTTGGGAGGCGGAGGTGGAAGGATTGCTTGAGCCCAGGAGTTCAAGGCCACAGTGAACCAAGATTGTGTCACTGTACTCCAGCCTGGGTGACAGAGTGAGACCCTGACTCTAGAGAAAAAGAGAGAGAGAGAGAGAGAGAGAGAGAGAGAGAGAGAAAAGCTTCACAATTGTGAAGTTATAGTTTCCAGTCTTGGTTGGGCCATTATCATTCCCAACTATTTATTCCTTATCCATCACCAACTTCTGCTTCTATTCACCATAGTGGAAGCAGTGCTCTGTCACTCCCCTTGAGCATACTCTGCAGCCCCAGCCTCCTCGCTGCTTCCCTCAAAAGACCATGCCTCCTATATGCATCACAGTGCCATTCAACAAGGCCTTTTCCAACCTCCATTCTCCACTCGGCTTCTCCCACCCTTAGCTGTGTCTGTTTTTTACCCTTTACTGACCCCAAAGGAAGCCGGCTCTCTTCTCCCTTAATTGTGCTGAATTCTGCCCTTCCTACTGCCTCCCAGGATCTCATTCTCTCTTGAGTGGATTGTCACATGACACTTCTCCAGAGGCTCCATTCTTTATAGACCTGCTTCTACTTCTTTTCTGAGAATGGACTCTCCTGACCCTGGCTTTGCCCCTCTACTACTCTTTCGTTTTTTCCCCTTCACTTTCAAACATCATAAAATCCTACACTCACTTGATTTCACTTCTCCACCTACAACTCATTACTCACTGCGCCCACTGTCTTTGGCTTCAGCAGCACCGGCCAGTTGGCTGAGACTGCTAAGTTCCTTGGCACATTGCTCAAACGCTGTGACTTCTTTCTGACTTTCCAGGACTCCCCATGCAGCCCTCCCACAACTTAGATTAATGGTTTCATCCTTAACTTCCTTTAGAATTAGGTTGAGCCATAGGAAATTGCTGTTATGGAGTTATAAAAGGATTGAATTTTGGCAATTTTCTGTGGCTCAGCCTAATTCCCTTTTCACACTTCTTTTGTAACTAATTTCACTTTATTGCAAATGTTTGTACATGTGGTTATCTCCTTCATCAGACTCTTAGTGCAGGGATTCTGCTTTCTTTATTTGCACTTCGCCAGTGCCTACAGCATAAAAGATGTTTGCTGAGCACCAGCTGGGTGAATGCCCCTTTCAGAAGGAGGGGCACAGGGACAGCGCTCAGGCCGGCCTGGTGGGAACACTGCAGGGATGAAGGGCACTGACCTGGCTGCAGGATGCTGGGGAGGAGGAAGATCCCAGCCCTCTTGCGGTAGAGCCCTGATTTGTACCTGTGGTGTTTCAGACTGGTGTGAGTGATGCTGCTTCTGCGACCCGGAGCCATGGCTGTCCGCCTTGCTTTTGGTCATGACCACGCTCCCACGAACACTCTTTCCAGGTTTAATTTCTGGGGCCAGCAGAGTCATCTCTGAGGTTAACTTGCCCAAGGTCTCAGTGCTCAGTCGTCCTTGCCCTATGATGTTTTGACCCATAGCAGCCTCCTGGGCTATAAGGAGAGTGTGAACTTTTATTAAAATCACGTTAGAATCACAAAAAACGACGGTGGGGATGGCACCCTGAAGTCCGTTCTGTCCAATAGACATATAATGTGAGCCACATACGTATGTAATTTAAACATTTCTAGTAGCCACATTAAAAAGGTAAACATTAATTTTAGGGACATATTTTAACCCAATATATGCAAAATGTGATCATTTTAACATGTAATGTATAAAAATTGCTCCTGTGTTATTTCCAAGTCTTTTCTTTATATCACATCTTCAGGATTCCCGTGGGAGCTGTACATTCACCGCACACCTCTGTTTGGACCAACCCAGCGTACGTGCTCAGCAGCCCCCAGGGCCAGTGGCCACTGTATGGCACAGGCAGGTTCGGGTTCACTGCCACCACTTCGTTCCAGCCTACCGACTCCACAGTGACAGCAGATGCAGGGGAGATGTGAGGGCCTAACCCCTATATTGCAAGGGCTCTATCCAAAGACCCCAGGGACCTCCTGACTGGGAAATTCAGCTGCCCTGTACTTAGGCCTATTCTATTTGGGCTTCCAGCAGTCTCTAATTCTGTTCATTTATTGATTCAATGAATCCTTTATGAATCTTTATTATGTGTCAACTATGCCAGGCATTCTTCCAGGTGCTGGGGCTACAGTGGGGGAAACTAACACAAGCCCCTGCCTCCAGGGCATACACGGGGTGAGGGCGGACAATAAAGGAGGTAGATCAGTATTAGGTTAGCTAGACAGGTGGGCTGTGAGATCAGGCCAGCAGGAAGGCTCCCCGTCCAGCAGGGCTCTGAGGGACGGGAAACTCCTCCTCGCTTCTCCTTTTCCTAAGGCTCCGGGGCCCTTTCCTTGACTTCCCTGACAGTCCCTATGACCCTGGCTCTGCTGTCTCTGCCTTCCCGGCTTCCCCACGACCTCTCCTGAAATGTCGGTGTTCTCCACGGTCCTAACCCGCCCTATCCAGTCCTCCTGGCTCATGCTGGGCCTTTCTGGCTGCTTCATCTACCCCAGTGGTTTCATGGAGAAAGACTCTCCCAGCTCTGTCTCTAGCTTGATGTTCCTTTCTCAGACCAGGAGCTCAAATTCACCCTTAGGCACAGGACATAAACATGGCTCCACAGATCACTCTGAAATGTAGATTATTTCACAGAAAAGGAAATAAAAAATTTAAGAGAATCAGCATTAGGGCATAGCCAGAGGTTCTCACTAAAGAGCTATTTCTCTTCCCAGCAAAGAATCTTCCATTTCCCTAAGTGTCCCATGCAAAGGTATCGAGGGGAGGGGACGACCCTGAAAGTCCCAGCCAGTTTTATCAACTAGCAGGCTGGAAGCATTTCTGGGATTACGTCATGCCATGGGTACTGACACAGGAATGCTTCCGCTCTGAGCAGGCACTCTGCTTGGTGTTTAGTATATTTTCCCATCGAGCAGCTGCTTGCCTGCTCTGAAGGTCCTCAGATAACCTGATGGAGCCAGAATTCTCAACTTTTTGTAGGAAGGCCACATGAGGCCTCCCCGCTATGGGATTCCAAAACTCAATTCAGGCCAGGCACAGTGGCTGAATCCTGTAACCCCAGCACTTTGGGAGGACTGCTTGAGGCCAGGAGTTTGAGACCAGCCTGGACAACATAGTGAGACCCTAAAAATTAGCCAGGCATAGTAGTGCATGCCTGTAATCCCAGCTACTCTGGAGGCTAATGTGGGAGGATCGCTTGAGCCCAGGAGGTTGCAGTGAGCTATGATCGCACCACTGTACTCCAGCTTGGGTGACAGAGAGATACCCTATCTCAAAAAAAAAAATAAAAAAAAAAAAAGATAGAAAGGAAGAAAACAACCCCCCTCCCCCAAACCCAACCCAATTTATTTTCTTCTCTGGCAAACTTGCTCTTCCTCCTGTGTTCCCTATCTAGGTAAATGACATCACTCTCTCCTGGTTTCTGGGATTGGAATCTGGGTGTGGCCATCTTAAATCCTTCTTACTCCTTCAATTCTCTACCATGCAGGTGGCTGTCAGGTTGGCCAGCCCAGGCCCATTTGTCTGCAGCTTCACTATCGCTTCCTTTACATGATAGTCAAGGGCTACCTTCCTATAGTGATTTTCTGACCATTTCTCCATAGTGTGAAAACTGTCCCAATGGCTCTTTTCCTTGAACATAAAACTTAAATTCCTAATCTTGGCATTCAAGGTCAACAATGATTGGCTTCAACCTGCTTTCCCACCCCTAATTTATGATCAGCTTCCCTGCTTTTTCATTCTGGAATGTCCTTGTCCCCATCTTTGCCTACTAACATTCTCTTGCTTCTTCAAACCTGTTTCCTTGAAAACTTCCCGAATCACCCTTGTTGGAACCCATTCATCCCAAACTTGCTCTTTCACAGAAGTTGGTATTTCTGTTGCAAATTTATTTTCCTTTGCTCTGACTGACCCCAAGTCTGCTTCTTCCCCCGCCCCCTCCAGGTGTCAGACTTCCAAAGGTGTGGGCTGTGTCTTATTCATTGTCCTGGTCCCTACAGAGGCAAGAGCATGCTGGCAGTGGGCAGGGCAGGAGACCCGGGCATGCTTCGTGAAGAGAATTCTCCTCTGGGCTATGAAGTTGGCAGCATGCTGTAGGGCAGACTTCAACCAGGCTGTGGGAGGAGAGCTCAGTGGGGCACAGAGAAGATGGGTGTTGCCAGTGGGGGTGCTGGTGACTTGGCCACAAAAAGCCGGGAGGATGGGTTCTTACCAGCCTCCTCTCCTTCCTTCATGGACTGCTCTATGGCAGCCCTGATGCAGAGCTCACGGGCCCGGATCCCTGGGACGTTGTTGCTGTCGGACACAGCTTCCAGCACAATGGAGTCGATGCTCAGGCAGGCCGCGTTGTAGTACTTGGCCATGCTGACCGCGGTGGCTGACTTTCCTATCAAAAAGACCAGTGGGTTGAATTTAATGGTGCTCATTTGCTCAGTGTCCCAGACAGAAAAGGTCTCAAGAACAGAGGTCCCTGCAAAGTGATCTCTCTGAGTGCTCTGCCTCCTTCCCATGTGGCTGGAGGTGTCAGCAGCAAAGAGAAGGAAGACCTCAGCCTGGAGTCAGGGCCGTGGGTCTGATTCTAACCCTGCCACCGATGCGTGCATGCTGTGGCAATCTGCATCCTCACTGGGTTTTCCCTCAGTTTTAAAAACAGATTCTTTTTTTCTTTTTTTTTGAGATGGAGTCTCACTCTGTTGCTCAGGCTGGAGTGCAGTGGGGAGATCTAAGCTTACTGCAACCTCCACCTCCCGGGTTCAAGCGATTCTCCTTCCTCAGCCTCCCGAGTAGCTGGGATTACAGGTGCCCACCACCATATCTGGCTAATTTTTTGTATTTTTAGTAGAGACGGGGTTTCACCATGTTGGCCAGGCTGGTCTCGAACTCCTAACCTCAACTGATCCGCCTGCCGTGGCCTCCCAAAGTGCTGGGATTACAGGTGTGAGCCACTGCACCCAGTCTGTTTAAGAAACAGGTTCTATCAGATGATCTTTAAAATACTTTGTTGTTCTTCCTGTCTCTGATTCTAACAGGAAGACTTTTTTATTTTAAAGAATAACTTGTGTTGATTTCTTTTCTCATTTCAAGGTACTTTCATTCAAAAAAAAAAAAAAACTGACAATTCAGATATAACAGACAAAAAAAGAAAAAAAAATCCATCATCTACTCATTCAGGGATAGTACAGTTAGCCTATGGTTGCTAAGTACACATGTAACTGTATTTCTTATAAAAAAAGAAATAGGTTATGTGGTAGGCTGAATAATGGCTCCTCCAAAGATTTCCACATCCTAATTCCTGGAACCTGCAAACATATTATCTTTTAGGGTAAAAGAGACTTTGCAGATGTGATTAATCTACAGATCTTGATATGGGGGATTAGCCTGGATTATCCGACTCGGCACAATGTAATCACATGGGTCCCCATGAGAGGAGAACAAGAGGGTTGGAGTCAGAGCAGGTCAATCGACCATGGAAGCAGCAGGAGAGACTGGGAGATGCTATGCTGATGGCTGGGAAGGAGGAGGAAGGGGCCAGGAACCAAGGGATGCAAGCAACATTTCTAGAAGCTAGAAGAGACAAGGAAACGGATTGTCCCCCAGATCCTCCAAGAAGGAACACAGCCCTGCTCACCCATTTTAGACTTCTGTCCTCCGGACCTATGACAGTATAAATTTGCATTATGTGAAGCCATGAAGTTTGTCGTCACTTGGTATATTAGCAACGGGACACTAATACAAACTACACACCACGAGTATGGCACCCTTTCTCATGTAAAATGATATACCATGAACAATTTTCCATTCATTCAATACAACTGCATGACACTGTTTTTACTGTGGTAAAATATACATAACAGCTACAACTTAAATCATTTCTAAGCATACGGTTTAGTGGTTCTAAGTACATTCACTTTGCTGTGCCCCCATCACCTCCATCCACCTCCAGAACGCTGTCATCTTCCCGAACTGAAACTCTGTACCCATTAAACTGTAACTCCCCAATACGCACCACCCTCCCAGCCCCTTGGAAACCATCATTCTGCTTCTCTTTCTGTCTCTAGGAATTTGGCCAGCCTGGGTACCTCATCTAAGCGGAGTCATACAGCGTTTGTCCTTTTGTGACTGTCCTATTTCACCTTGCATAAGGTCCTCAAGGTTCTTCCGTGTTGTAGCACATGTCAGAATTTCCTTCCTTTTTTTTTTTTTTTGAGATGGAGTCTTGCCCTGTAGCCCAGGCTGGAGTGCAATGGCATGATCTCGGCTCACTGCAACCTCCGCCTCCTGGGTTCAAACGATTCTCCTGCCTCAGTCTCCTGAGTAGCTGGGATTACAGGCGCCTGCCACCACACCCGGCTAATTTTTGTATTTTTAGTAGAGACGGGGTTTCACCATGGGGGCCAGGCTGGTCTCGAACTCCTGACTTCATGATCCACCCACCTGGACCTCCTAAAGTGCTGGGGTTACAGGCGTGAGCCACCACGCCCTGTCCATTTCCTTCCTTTTTAAGGCTGAATAGCATCACATCGTACCATATTTTGTTTCTTCCATTCAGCCACGGATGGTCATTTGGATTGTTTCCACCTTTTGGCTATTGTGACTAATGCTGCTATGAACATGGGTGTACAAGACGCTGTTTTTAATGGCAATAAAATTCACTATATAAATGTACTGTGGCCTGATTAACCAGTCCCCCATACTGAATGTTACAGTTGCTCCCAAGTTTCTATTACAGCATACAGTGCTGCAGTGAACATTCAAGCAGTTCATCTTGTCCACATCATTAATTATTTTTCCTAAGAAATTTTTAGAAGTAACATTGCCAGGTCAGAGTCTGCACATATATTTCTTTCTCTTTTTAAATAATTTAATGTCTTGGATTTTTTTCTCTAATATTTTAATGTTTTTAAATTATGGAAAGAATACAATTCAAACAATTCAGAGATGTATACATTCCAAATGAGGTGTCTTCCCTCTCCTTCTTAATCCCCTCTCTGAGGTCAGCAATTTAACAGTTTGGGGATAATCCTTAAGTATATGGATTATAAACAAAAGAGTCTCTTATTGCCTTCAAAAGTTATATGTGCTAACTTCACCATAAACAAAAGGGGCAAAAGAACTTATACTGATCAGTCTGATTTTGACATAGACTGTTAAGCTGTTCTTCATGAAGATTCTGTGAAAGCTGTAAAGTTCCATAAAAATGCCAGGCTTGTTATTACTGTAGTTCACACTCTAACAGGCTTTTCGCCTGCAGATGGAAAGTGACTGAGCCTCCACTAGACAGGGCTGGTGGCTCTTTCCAGGTCAGTGCATTTTTGGTGTTAACTCTCCAGTTGTCTGCGGTTTCTGCGGGTCCATCAACCATCCTTCTGTCATTCCTTTTAGTGCAACCGAAAATGGCCTGAGCCTCTGCAGGTGTGTGTGTGTGTGTGGGGGGGGGGTCTTCAAAACATTTCCAGTTATGTTCTTACTTGGCTTGTTTGATTTCTGCCTGTTGCCCACAGATCTGGCCTTCTACTTTTTAGGTCCTGGTTTACAACTTTTCAAGGAAAGGTTCTTCAAAGGAAGGGGTCATGAATTGTGACATTTTAAGATTCCTGGGCCTCTCAGTGATTAGAACATCAAAAATCCTCCATAAATGTTGTCTGTATGAGTGATAGTAATTGGGTCAGAACAAGATTTCACAGCCCTTCGTCAAGTAAGCTGAAGCTAAGAGAGGTGGCAGGGCATCCTCCCAACATCCCTCCGCTCTGCCGCTTTCTAACTGGGTGGCCTTGGGCAGACGTCCTTGAATTTCTCTGAACTTTGGCTTCCTATAAGTTAGGGGAAGTCAAATTCTCTTTTCTGAATGGTTCTGAAGTTTAAATAGACAAATGGATGGGAAGGAGCTCTGTCAACTGCAAATTACTATACAAATAAGATTTTTTTTTCCATTGTAGGTGATTTTGCTCCTTTGGGTTGATGGCGAAGTTAGCATATGTAATTTTGGAGATAATAAAGGATTCTTTAACAAGAATCCTTTCTTTATCAAGGGCTCACCCCTTAACTGGTTTATGGTTAGGAAAATATTTATTGAGAATATTTAGCACGTGATGGAAGCTTCTTTTCAATGAGGATTCACACTGCAGATATTGTTATAATTGTGAATGCTAATAGTCATCATAGTAATAATAATGATAACACCAACAGCTTTTTGTTTGAGTGTTTACTATGTGCCAGTCATCATAGTAATAATAATAACATCAGCAGCTTTTTGTTTGAGTATTTACTATGTGCCAAGTATTGAGATAAGCATTTTATATAAATGTTCTCATTATATTCTCATGACTACCCTATAAAATAGATAGTGTTAACACCACTTTACGGACAAGGAAACTGAGCACAGACAACTTAATTTTCCCAAAGGCACACAGCTATAAATGTGTAATCGCTACTCTATGCTGCTCCTCAAATAAAGTCATTAGTCTTTGCCATGACCACACAGCTGATGTTGCCACTCTGGAAGCCGCAGAGTTTACAGAGAAAATATGGCACCGCTGGTCTTAACCTCCCCTCAGAATTGGTGCATACCTGACAAGGGTGTCCCGTGAATGATAATGGCGATGCCTTTCCGGTTCTTGGCCAGGCGGCCTTCTGCAGAAATGTCAATGCCCAGGTGGCGAGCGATTGCTTTGCTCACTGGGTTGTTTTCCACCTCTCCAACTTCCTCCATGGAGTGGCTGTCAATGCTCTGAAGCTTGTCAGCTGCAAATTTAAAATATATGCTGTGTGCACACATGGCATGCATGCTACACAGCCAGAAGTTATATGGGTACTGATGGAAATGGGAATGGATATTTCTTTTTAAATGCTGTGTTTTTTTTTTTTTTTAATGGCAAACATTGCAGCAGTCCCTACTTGTAGTATACGAGAAGGCCCTTTTGGGCTAATAATTTGCTTATAGCTACTAACATTTATAGCTAATAATTTGTTTAGAGCTACTAAAATAAAAAAAAACCCAGATTTTTTGACTCTACTTCTATTTTGGGGAATCTCTCTTGCTGAAAAGTAGAAAGGACATTTGTGTGGAGAGCAGGATGGCTTACAGTGGCAAAATATTAGAAACGAGTGAAATCTGGAGCATTAAGGGAAATGGATGAATAAATGATAGCAAATTCCTATTATAGAACCAATACACAGTAGCTATTAAAATGATGACTTCAGTATCGGAGACTAGTCAACTATAGCCCACAGGCCAAACCTGTCCTGCTGCTTGTTTTCGTAAATAAAGTCATACTGGAACATAGCCACATCCTTTGATTACATATTGTCTTTGTCATCATAGCCACCCTCCAAAGGCAGGGTTGAGTAGTTTCAGCGGAGACTACAAAATATTTACTATCTGGCCTTTTATAGGAAAAGTTTGCCAAACCTTGATTTATCAAATGCATTGGCCTAGAGGAACGTCTAGAAAAAAGCAAGTTGCAGGATCCTATGTGTATGAATAGTTTGTAGAGCAGTGTGCAGCCAGATACATATAGTCATCACAAATACAGTGTTTTAATAACAAAACTAGGATGACACTCTGAATTTTGTTCTGTAACTTGCTTTTCACATAATACATCTTGGACATCTTTTCATTTACTTGAACACAGCTCTAGCTCATTCTTTTTTTTTTTTTTTTTTTGAGATGGCATCTCGCTCTGTTGCCAGGTGCCTTGGCCTCCCAAAGTGCTGGGATTACAGGCGTGAGCCCCCTCGCCCGGCCTAGCTCACTCTTTTTAAACAGCTGCTAAATAACTCCCACTGTATGGCTTTGTCACAATTTCACTAGTTGCCTACTAATGGGCATTTATGGTTTCATGTTTTTTCATCCTAAGCATTGTAGTGTGCTTTCTTCTCTGTGGGATGTCCAGGGTCAGCCCTGGAAAAGCCCAGGCATGGGGAGCAGAGTCAGGGTGTATGGGGTGGGGAAGGCTGCTGAGAGAGACCAGGAGCCACTTGGGGGTCCGTCAACATAGCCAGGGTGGATTAATTATGAGGCATGGAGCCAGGAATTTCTGTCTTTAATCTCCGTTTTGCCATTACATGCTCCTGATTTAATTTACTCACCTGGTTGATGAGGGTTATGAATGATGACTTAACTCCCTAAAGATCTCCTGAGCCTCGCCCATGATTCCTATTCTGGGGGTGGGCAAAGGACACGGTTGCTTATGCCTTGTCATGGTTTATAATGACCAGCAAACGGCCCCCATGAACCCAGTTTCACAGAATCTAATTTTCTAAATATGGTTCTAACATCTTGTAAAACTTGGGGAAAATAAATGCCAGAAAATGGGCCCATAATGCCGGGAGGTCAAGAGAAGAGCTCTCTAATGGTCCAACTGGGGGGACACTGGGGAGAATGTCCCCCATCCCCATAATGTTTCTCTAAACACCTCCCAGTCTGCCGGAATCTTAGCATGAAAGATTCAGGCCTTCATTTAGTCTACTTGAAACACAAATTACTGTGACAAGAATGTATTGTATGCTAAGCTCATCAGCCAACTCTCAAGCTTGTATCCTAGTGTAAGCAGCAGATCAGAGCTTCTCCAGAGGGCAGCTGTGGTGGGCAGGGCAAGATGGGCTAGGAGCCATACTAGGAGGCTTGGAGAAAGTGAAAAGGTACTGAATATTGTCTTCCTACTTCTGCTTGGAGAGAACTAGTATCAAAACATTAAAATGCTCGGTTACTTTGGAACATGATTTTTTCCAGGCTTTCCTCATCCTCCTCTTCCTCTAGATAGGTTTTGGACTCAACCAACAGGGCGTGCCACTCTTCCAGGTTGGATGTTACAGAGATCCCTCGGCTCAGCGATGTCCTCTTCGTGCTATTAGAGGTTCCCTGATCTGATGAGGTCATATCTTCCTCTTCTGCCAACGAGCAAAGGATGAAAACACCAGGGGAAGAGTTGGGAGGGAGACAAGGGAGATGGGGGCAGAAAAGAAAAAAAACGATGAAGAGGAGATTCACCATATGGGTTCCCATCACCCTGGACCATTCAACCCAAATAAACAAGAACTGCAGTCAGTCGGCTATTCCTCTGTCTCTCTGTGTACAGTGTTTCTACATTTTGACATTTGTTTAGGAACTAAAATTATACATTTGCTTAGAAAATGTGGAAAACTCAGAGGAGTCAAAAATGATGGAATTCAGCTACAAAAAGAGGTGGAGATAGACAAAGAAACGGTGACAGAGAAATTGCACTAAATTTTATCATACCAGCACAGGAGAGTTGCAACCTTTCAGACTTTTAATTTTTAATTGTTTGAAACTCAGCTTGGGGTTATATTGTACATACTGATGTGCAGCCTGCTTTCCCCTTTAATTTATCATGACCATTTCCTGTGTCGTTAGGGACAGCTATCCTTTCATTGGCCCAACACCTTCCTCATTGATTGCCCGTGTTCTATAGCATTTCAGGGGTGCAATGGGCTGTGACTGTATGAGGTGACCCCCCCTACTACAGGGCAAGACATTCTCTTTGTCACACAGGTAGAAATTGAGCCTGAGGGGTTGCAGCTCTCTCGTGAATGGTGGCTGTGTGACTTGGGGCTGCGGGCCTTCCCTGGAAGGAAGGGAGGCAGAGAAGGACGATCTATAGCGTGAGAGCAGAGCGAGTAGAGAGAGGCACCGGTGAGAAGCAGGGCGTGCGCCTTTCTGGGTTCCCTCTGCACCCACTGATCCTGGCTTAGACTGCCTTCCATTGGGCCAAATGGATAAGTGAGCCCACAATCATGGTGTGTGAGGACAAGGGGAGCACCAAGGCCTTCTCTGCTTTTGGGAGGTCCTTTGTACATTGCAGCCCTTGCCGCCCCTGCCTTGGGCTGCTGGGCAGTCTCTCTGATGGTGTGTCTCTCCTCGCACTCTCTTCATGACTGTGAGCTCTCAAAGGCAGGGATTCATTGCATTTTTGATTTTTTTTTCCCAGCACTTTTTTCACTAATTTTTTTTCCCAGCACTTCAGTGCTTGCAACACAGTGGGTCCTTGTGATGGGCTTAATCGTGTCCCTTCCCAATTCAGATGTGGAAGTCCTAACCCCCGAGTATCTCAGAATGTGACTGATTTGGAGATAGGGCCTTGAAAAGGTAATTAAGGTAAGATGTGGTCACATGGGTGGGCCCTAATCCAGTAGGACTGGTGTCCTTATGGGGAGAGGAGATTAGGACACAGACACACACAGAAGGAAGACCAGGCGAAGACACAGGGAGAAGACAGCCAACTGCAAGAAGGGATTCAGAAGAAAGCAACCCTGCTGACACTCAGCCTTGGACTTCTAGCCTCCAGATGTGGGAGAAAAGAAAATTCTGTTGATTAGGCCACCTAGTCCCTGGGCATTTGCAACGGCAGCCCTAGCAAACTCAAGGAACGTGACTAGGAGACAGGGTGGGTGGCAGCTGCCTTCTCTCATCTTCTCCTTTTAAGCCAAACTAGTGGTCTCTGACTAGCTTCTATTTCCTGGACAATGAGACAGGTCCAGTGGCAGGAAAAATTACTCCATTCAATCCATTAATGCATTCACTCACACAGCACCCATTTCTTGGGCACTATTGGGTCAACTGCTGTTCCATGCACTGGTTTTACACGTGGGAAATATTTGATCAATGCCTTTACAGGGACTTCTTGGCTAATGGTGGAGGGAGCGTGAAGAAAATAATTACATGTATGACTGTTACACAGATGAAAGCAAGTAAGAACAAGGTGGGTACATTTCCAGGATGAGGTTACAGAGAAGCAAAGAGAAGACGCATCCTCATAACTCACACAGTCCCACAAGTCAGTGAGGAACCTTTATGGACAAGCACACAAGAGCCCCTGGGCAGATGATGGGATAACTCAGGGGTGGTGGGCCAGAAAGGGCACCATTCTGAGAGCACAGGACAGCTCTGCAATTGGAGTTTGGCCTGAGGACTATGGAGGGGTTGGTCTTTTGCTTGAGGGAATGCCCACCCCCTGCTTTTAGGGCACCAATTTCTACCTTTCTACATTACTTTGCCTTACCTAGGTGTACCCATTGGAGGCAGTGGTTACCATCATGGACTCTGGAGTCAGAGAGCCCTGGGCTGGAATCCTGATTCTGCCACTTAAAACTGTGGACCTGGCCTCCCCGCACTTCAGTTTCTCATCGGTACGTGCAAAGCCCTCAACATGGCATTCAGCAAGTGTTATTCCATCTGCATTAGCAGTTTTTAGGTTGTACTACCCAAATTGGGCCCTAGTGACAGCAGAATGTGTTCCAGCCTATGCATCTATAAAATGGGGATAACACAACCCATTTTGTAAGGGTTAGAAATAAAATACACAAGGCAGACAGCGCCTGCCCGGCATCTGGCAGGTACTCAGAAATGGGTTGGTCCCACGGCAGGGGTAGTTCAGGGGGGCGAAGGCAATGGTTGGCCCCAGGGGTTCTCCATGTTGAGTTCTCACCATTCTCCTGTGCCAGATTCTCCAGATATTTCGCCCTCATCTGCTCCTCTTTTGACTTCTTCATCTCCTTAAAGTACTCGTACAGTTCTGGGGGCAGCTTCTCCCCAGGGTTGCGGGGAGGCAGCAGCAGGGTGTTGTAGGAATCATAGCCCTTCAGCTTCCGCAAGATCTGCTCGAGGGGAGAACGGGAACCCTGTTGGTCTCACTAGGAATCTCCCTGCAGGTCACTGATTTTGTAAAACTTCTGCTCCTGCCTGAGGCTGAGACTTACACAAATACTTTCTGGATTTCAAAGAGTGGGGCCCTTTGGAGAGGTCTCGGAAGCAGGGCTGAGCTCTGAGCCTGTGGGGATACATGGATCTTTACTTTGCTCCATTTCAGCCTAGGCATTTCACATGTGGAAATAAATTTTCTTCTTGTTTTAAGAATAATATATACTCTTTTCCTTTTTTTGCCCATGACAAAAGTTCAGACCTCCATTATCTACCTTGAGTGACACATTCATTCTTAAACAATATTGTGGTTAGCAATTTTACACTAAGTAAGGGTGTGGTCTCATAAATAGAGGATCTGGGGAAAAAAAGAGGTAAAATAGTATTAAGTATGTGCACATGTGCACATGTGTGTGAATGTGTACTAGGGCTGCCAGGTGAAATACAAGATGCCTAGTTAAATTTGAGTTTCAGATAAACAATGAATAACTTTTATTTATTTTTTTTAATTTTACTTTTTTTGGAGATGGACTCTTGCTCTGTCGCCCAAGCTGGAGTGCAGTGGCCCGATCTCGGCTCACTGCAAGCTCTGCCTCCTGGGTTCACGTCATTCTCCTGCCTCAGCCTCCTGAGTAGCTGGGACTACAGGTGTCTGCCACCACGCCCGGCTAATTTCCTTTTGTATTTTTAGTAGAGACAGGGGAATAACTTTTTAGTATAAATATGTCCTGTGTAATATTTGAGACATACTAAAAAAATTTGTTATTTATCTGAAATTCAAATTTAACTAGACAGCCTGTATTTTTTTCTCCTAAATCTGGCAATACTAGAGTGTATTTATAAGACATAGTAAAATTAAGTTTTAAAAAGCATTTACTTCTTCTACAACCTGATTTATTGGTATCAAAAATCTGTTTTGTTAGATAATCCTTCTTCAGGATCCCCATTTTTAGTTATTTGAACACCACTGCTAATAAGCTCCATGTAAAATAAGATCCATGTAAATTCTAAAATTTAGAAGGGCAAAATTAAAGTATTAATGAAAAGGAATAAAAGAAGGGTATTGCCCTACCAGATGACAAGTCTTATTAGGAAGCTGTAGTAATAGACAGAGTGGCAATGATGCTGGGACAGACACACTGACCAATGAAATAGAAGAGAAAGCTCAGAAATGACCCATTTATTTATGGAACTGTGATAAAGGATACAGGTGGCATAGAGAATCAGTGGGCAAAGGAGGCAATATGCCAAAGACTGGCTGATGCAGGGCACAAAGGCCTGGCAAACAAGCAGCAACTGGGGCAACTCCAAAGGGCCAACCCAGCTCCAGAGCTTCCTATGCGATTAGCTGAAGTCTCTGTTGCCATCTCATCACAGTTCATCTCACTCCACCCAACTCTGCTGTCCTATTCTTCACAGATGTTCCTGAGAATGCCCCCAAGAAACCTCCCACATGCAAACCTCAGGTCTTAGATTGTGCTTTCCACGGAGCCTGACTCTCAACAGAAGGTGCTGTGCCAACAGAAGCCACTAAGGATCTCATAAGAATCTGCCCCATAGGGGCAGGTCCCCATTCTGAGAAAAACTTCTGGGAGCAGACTGCAAACTAAGCAGGCTATCAACATTGGAAGCAAAGAAGACAGAAGATTCAAAGGCTGAGTGGGGGACGGTCCAGAGAAAGCAGAATAATCCCCCCTCACCTAAGCCACCTTCAAATTCCTGACCCACAGAAAGCACAAGATGACAAATGTTTACTGTTTTAAGTCAGTAAGTTTGGGGCTAATTTATTATGCAGCAAAAGATAACAAATACAGCGCTGGGCTTCACGGACAGCAATATCTTATGAGGAAACAATGGAGCAACACATTTAAAATAGTCAAGTCAAGAAAATGTAAGCCAAGAATATTGTATCTGATCTTCAAAAGTCACAGATAAATGGTTATGAATGTTTGAATACTCAGAGAATATCATTCCCATGATCCCTGCCTGAGAAATCCACCAGAGAATGAACTGTAGATAATCCAGAAGTGATTGGAGAAGCTTCATTGTAAGCATTGGTGTTGGGCATTCAATATGCTTAGTGTAAAACTAAGACTCCACGATGGAAATTAAGTCCTGCCACCTTAATATTATAAGCTCTGACAATACAGATAAAATACAAGTAGCAAATATGGGGGAAGGGTACATGAGATGACTACTCAGCTGGTATTAACTGGAAATAAAATCATTTTAAATTAGAAGATGGAAAGGGGAGAGGGAAAAAGAAAGAGATTACTAGCTAATTTTAATATTGCTCATAGGAGGGAATTAAGAGGCTGTTTCAAAGAGTAGGACACTAAGGTTATTAGACAAAGGTGTAGCTCAAGGTAGGGCAGCAGGGTGGGGAGCATGAGATGTGGATCTGGGGGAGCTGCTGGAACACAGTACAGAGGCCTCACCATGCTTATGGATAATAGGACTCAGTAGTCTTACTATTAGTGGGAATATTGATATTACTATTTTGAAGCTATTTATTAATTATTTTATTTTATTTTGAGACAGGGTCTCACTCTGTCACCCAGGCTGGAATGCAGTGGTATGATCTTGGTTTACTGCAGCCTCGACCTCCCAGGCTCAACTGGAACTCCCACCTCAGCCTCTCAAGTAGTTGGAATTATAGGCGTGTGCCGGCATGTCCAGCTAAATTATTTTGTACTTTTTTTTTTTTTTTTTTTCGGAGACAGAGTCTCACTCTGTCACCCAGGCTGGAGTGCAGTGGCACGATCTCAGCTCACTGTAACCTCCGCCTCCCGGGTTCACACCATTCTCCTGCCTCAGCCTCCCAAGTAGCTGGGACTAAAAGCACCTGCTACCACGCCTGGCTAATTTTTTTACTTTTTTATTTTTTAGTAGAGACGGGGTTTCACCTGTTAGCCAGGATGGTCTCGATCTCCTGACCTCGTGATTCACCCGCCTCGGCCTCCCAAAGTATTTTGTATTTTTTTTGTAGAGATAGGGTTTTGCTATGTTGCCCAGGCTGGGCTCAAACTCCTGAGATCGAGCAGTCCTCCTGCCTTGGCCTTCCAAAATGCTAGGATTATGTGTGTACAACTGTGCCTGGCTAAATGTATATTTTATACGATAAATTGATAAGTAAGTTTATATCCATGATTTTCAAGAGAAAGCAGAAACAAATGTATCATCAAAGAATTTAGATAAAATCCTATAATCTTAAATTGGGATTTGAAACATCATTATGTGTTATGATTTTTTTCCCCTCTTAAAAATCACATTCCCTAGTTCTATTTACTAAAAAGACCTAGAAAGTCACAATCCAGTGAACTTGAAGACAAGATAATAGAAATTACTTACTCTGGATAACAGATAAAATAGTCTTAAAAAAAAGAGAAAAGAGCCTTAAAGAGCTATAAAACAGTAACAAAATATCTGAGTGTCATTTGAGCCCTGGAAGGAGAGCAGAAAGAGCATGAGGCTGAAAAAGGTACTCAAATGAATAATGCCTGAAAAATTTCCAAATTGGAAAGAAGATAAAGATCAACAGATTCAAGAATCTCAGCAAATCCCACACTGAATAAACCAAAAGAAATTTATGCCAAGACACATTATAGTCAAACTTCTGTAAACTAAGACACAGAAAAATTCCTGAAAGCACTGAGAGAGAAATGAAATCTTCCCTAAAGAGGAAAAAAAATTACTCAAATAATTGAATTTCTCATCAGACCATGGAGGCCAGAAGAAAGTGGCATATATTGCAAGGGATGAAAGAACCGTCAGCTCAGAATTCTATATCCAGTGAACAAATCCTTCAATGATGACAGGGGAGGTCAAGGCATTCTCGAAGGAAAACTAAGAAATTTCTATCCGCAGGCATACCCTAACAGCAGAGCTAAAAGTAGCTCTCTAAACAGAAAGTTAAAAATAAAAGAAGAAATCTTGGCATATCAGAAAGGAAGAAAGGACAGAAAGAGTAAAAAGAGAGACAAATATAATACATTTTCCCTTTCCTCTGGGGTCTTCAAATGTATGTTCAGCAGTTGAAACAATAATTATAGTGCTAGCTAATATAAGAAAAATATTTAAGACAGTTATATTAAAAATCAGAAGGCTGAAGGGAGTTAAATGGAGGAAAGTTTTCTAAATTCCACTAGAACTGGTAAAATGTCAATACCAGTTGATTATAATGTTATGTGTAGATAACGTAATACCTATAGCAATAACTAAATGAGCTATACAAAGAGATAAACCCAAAAAACACTCTGAGTAAATAAAAATGGAATTTTAAATAATGTTGAAGCAACTGACAGGAAAGTAGGAAAAAGTAAACAGACCAAAAAACAATAAAACATGCAATGGTAGACTTAAGTCCTGACATAGCAATAATTACACTAAATGTAAACTGTCTAAATATATAAACTAAAGTCAGAGATTGGCAAAAGATATTTTTAAAAATGATCCAATTACATGCTGTCTACAAGTAACTCAAGTTCAAATACAATGATATTGGCAAGTTGCTACGTAAGGTTCTTTACTGTTTGAATTTTAACCATGAACATGCATTAGCTTTTCAATTAGCTGCTTAAAATGTCTAGGATTCTACTCAGTTCAAGGGAAGTAGCTCAGAAAAGGCTCTAGAGAAGTAATCACTAAATTGACAAGGAAGAATTCAAGGGGAAAAAGACAGGAAAGGCCAGGAGGATGTTATTGCATGCAGAGAAAAGAGCATGAGTACGTAGCAGGGTCCAGCACGTGTAGAAAAACAGAGTTTGGCTTTGGCCTCTGCTCACCTTTTCTTCTATGAGATATTGCTGATCAAATTCTAAGGAATAAAACTCAATGGGGAAGTTGCAAGGATTCTTCACTATCACCTCGGCCTCGTCTCCAGGTGCACAAAGTAGCAGTGGCCCCAGATCCAGGACTGAAGGACTAAATTCCAGGCGTGGCTCTAGACCTTGCCCACGTGCCAGCAGGGTAAGCTTTTGAGCACTCTGGGCAATCTGAAACACCAGGGTTTGGCTGTAGAATTTCTGGAAAACATAAAAACAAAACAAGCATCTGAATTTATTTCCACTACATGTCATGTAAAACAAAACACCGCTGAGGGGAAAAAACTTATCTATTTAGATTAAGAGAGAAAACTTATAATAAAATTGCATAGGAGTAATTTGCATTACTGAATTAATATAAGTACTGGCTATTTAGCATGGCAGGCATTGTACCAAGTGCTAGATATCAAATACATTCTGGGTATCTAGCATTCCAGGACTTGTATCAAGTGCTTCATCATGTGTAGCAAGCCCTCTGAGTGTCACTGTCACATCCCTCGGATCTTCCAGTGTGCTCAGAATTCCAACTGCCACTGTCTGCACCTCTGGGCCTAAAGGTTCTCATTTCATGGACCCTGCTGCTCATGGGCAGGGGAGGGCAGGGCAGAAATGCCAGGGAAATGATACCATCTGGAATTAGTTATCAAGCAATGACTCTGGGGATTTACGGTAAAGAGACCCCAGCTCCCTTGCTCCCGAGGAGTGATGATTCTGAAGCGTGTACTTTGCGTATTTTCCCAGAGTTTGGCAGAATGCCAGAGCTGGGGCATTCAGTTCATCAGATACAATTACAACCAGATACTGGTCAGTAGTGATATCATAACTACTCATATGTTTTCTCAAAATGGTACCCAAATCTACTTTCCATCCCATAGTTCCTAGTCTGATTTCACTGGGGAACCTATTAAACATGCAGATCCTCACATTCCATCCCTAGAAACTCTGACTCTGTAGGGGCAGAATAAGGCTGGGATTCAGCATTTTTAACCAGATGCCTAGGTTATTCTGGTATAGCTGGACTTGTGGCTTGGTTTGAGTGGAAATTAGGAAAATCACAATTTGAAGACCTCCTATCTTAGCTTGAAGGGGAAAAAGCAAATGGATGGAATGTATACAGACATACACACAGAAATATCTATTGCTGGACACAGTAAGATAAATTATTGGCTCAGAGGGGTTTCTATATAGTTATGGGCTTAGTACCTTATGATTCAAACTTCTATATTTTAATTGCTGCTTATGGAAATCTTTCTAAAACATTTCATTCATTTTCTTGAGCATGTTATAAAGCCTAAGAATTGTTGGTCTGGATGTCATTGATTTCTTGGCGCTGCTGATGTTGATGATGATGCAGATATATGGATTGTATGGCCTGCAGGGCTAACCAATTCCTTGTATACAGCTAATAAATTTATCTCTTAATTGCTGGAAACATTTTATTAACTTTGACTAATTCCAACTCAACATTCATGAAACTGCTTGAACAAACCTTTTTTTTTTTTTTTTTTTTTTTATATTTCCCTCATTAAGTAATGGAAAAAATCCACAATCTTGAGTAAACCCTTTGAAAATGTTAGGACTCTTTAAGAATGACAAACATATTACTAATTTTCTTTTAAATGAACTGGGAAAATTTTGATAATGATAAAAACATGGGTTTTATTTTAGAATGAGATAGGAAGTTGTTTGCTTTTTCTCTTTCTCACTGAAGCTGCTTAAGCACTTCCTCAAAGCGATTACAAGGAAAGTGGGAGTTAACCATAGCTCCTCTATAAAACACAGATCAATTTTTCTTTTAAAATAACAGAATAGAGAAAAATATATTTCCCAAGTGCCTTAGGTTTTGAATAAAAGTTTTTCCAGTGCAACCTCTTGAGATTCTCTCTGGTTCTAGGATTTTATTAATTTTACTATGTTCCTGGTCAGAAGTAGCTTTGAGTTGATTACGTTCACAAAAGAAACATTTATGAGGCTCCAGGAGGCCATCTACCGGGACGTACTTTTCACAACTACTGATGATGATAGTTATTGAGAGACTTACTTACATAGAGCAGCATGCTGTGTACTTTATTCAATACTGTGCGTTTAATCTTCAAAATGACCTCAGGAGGTAGTCATTACAGGTTGACAATAAGTTATCCGAAACCCAGGGGCCAGATACTTTCAAATTCAGATTTTTAAAATAGTAAACACAGTGTATATACCCTATGTTACCTAACACCCTCAGCAGGGTCTGGGGCAGGTCCCCTGTAATCAAACACATTAATGGTTGGTGGCAATGTTTGACTCTGAAAACTAAGTGGTACAAATAAAGGTTAAATGGTCTCATGTCAATTCAGATGAGATTTTTCTGCCAAATGAGTTGTGGTCCGAAGCTTATGAAATCTCAAACCCCCCACCCCTAGTTTTGGATCTTATTGGGTTTCAGAATTTCAATAAGGGACTTTTGATATACAATATTACTATTTTTTATTTTATTTATGAGTGAACTGAGACTGAATGAAGCTAAGTAATTTCCTCAAAGACACACAGCATGTAAGTGTGCAGAGGCAGAAGGCTACTAAACCCGGCCTTCTGATAAAAATTGATATTTTAGTCCGTTGATTCCAGACCACCAGGCCACACAGCTCCTATGTGAACCAGAAGTGCTCGAGATGCCATATTCAGAAAAGCCAGGCACAGGTCACTCAAAGCTTCCCTTGAGACCCAAACAAGCATGGACTTTGAGTAAAGCTCAAAGAGGTCCAGAGAATCAAAATGAAGCCATGTTTCTTTAAAGCTCACCTCTTCTTTTGGCATGAATTTCACCTGTACGTTGGACTTCTCACCAGGATCCAGGACTCCAGAAATGGGCTGGATTTCGAAGATCCGTGTCTTTGGCTTTAATTCAGCACGTAGTTTCTGTCTTAAGTACTTCGGCATGTGTTTCTCCAGCTGGTTTACACATATTAGACAATTAGATCACCTTCTATGGAAAATGAGCTCATTTACCTTCCACTCACACAACCCACATTTCCTGAGTACCTCTCAGGTGTCAGGGAATGTGTAGATACCAGAGGTACAAGGGTGAATAAGACATTCCACCTGACAGCATGGCCTGATAGGACCTCAAGCGCTGGGCTAAGGGCCCAGGTTTTATTCAGGAGGCAACTGTTGCCACTGAGTCTTTGAGCAGGAGGTTGAAATGATGAGCGCCAAGGCCTAGAGTTACAAATCTGGCTGAAATGGAGATGGAGAAAGGAGGACCAATGGGCCACAGTTCGTTTACCTTGTCAACAGGCTTTTGGCTCTGGACAAACCATTCACAAGGCACTTGGAGATGATTGGAAAGCTGAATAGTTTCCACCAGGCACTGTCCACACTGAATTGTGGCAAAGTCCACTTTTCCATGAGAGAGAGTCATGGTTGGAATGGTCACCTTGGCTTGGAGACGGATGTGAACTGTTGGCCCTCCAACCACCTGGAGAGGGTATAAACTGCAGTTATCATGTGGCATGGGTTTGGTGAAAACAAGAATCACAGCTCTGACATAATAACCGGATTATCTTAGGGCGATCAGCAAGCAGAGCTGGAAACCTGCAGGGCCGGGTGGGCCCAGTGGTGCCTTGTACCTTGATGGGCAGAATGACTTCTTTGCTTCCAACAGGAAGATTGGCCCCCTGTGAGTCAAACCTCACTTCAAATATTTCCGTTTCACAATGAGGCAGATTCTTTACACGATCTAGCTTGGTACTGAATCCTGGACCAAAACAAAAAAAATTTCTTAGTGGGAAAGAGAAACAGCGAACAAGAGCTGCTCTAGAGAAAGCCCCCACTGGGTCAGAATGACTGCTCAAAGGATCACTGAATAGCCCAAGAATCCTTTTAGCTGATCCCAGAGGCACAAATGCTATTCCAGGAGGATTGTACTGATGGGTTCCTTGTGAGAAATGACCACGTGCAATAGGAAAGGGTCTCCCCAGCCTGGGTACCTGTCTCATGAAGGACACGCTTGTCTGCATGGAATGACACTGGAAAGTGACTGGTGTTGGTGATCTTGATGATGTGGGTTCGGACGTCGCCAAGGATGATGTAGCCAAAGTCCAGGATGTACTCTGGCAGCTGGACTCTGAAATGGTTAATAGACTTACTAGTCCCTTTCAAACCTGGAAGTCTACTTTTCCAAAAGTGAAAGAGTCTGATTTTTTTTTTCTACCTCTTGTGCACAATTTTATTCTCCAGAGTGGAGAACAACGAATGGCTACGCAAACAGAGACTAGAAACAATGTTAACTCCCCCAGAGATTCACATCGCTGTTTTGGCCATTATCTCAGAACACGTTCAGTGTGGGCCCTTATAGACCTGAAGCGGAGCCTGTCCATTCGACATAGCTGTATTGTTCTCACTTGAAGAGGCAGAAACCTGCCCGGCTGGCTTGATGCTAGGGGATGGCGGATAACTGAGATGAGTGGATTTCATTCCGAGATGATCAGCCAGTGTTTCAGGGAGCTGCACGAGGCAGCACTGCTTGCTCTGCTACACTCTGAAACAAGCACAGCACAGAAGGGCGGTCACTGGAAACCACTCACTTGGCCAGTTTGCGGCGACTCCGATGGCTGAAGCAGGTGTCATCCATAGGATCGGGGGTGGTTGTTTTCTGATGTTCTAGGACATAGCTTTGGACTACAAGTCTTTCTACCTCCATCTGGAGATGAGCACTTACCTGAAGCAAGAAAGAGGAGCAAGTCAGCAAATTCTTTAGGAACATGCATTCTCAACAGGGACAATATCACCCCCAAAGAGGCAAAAATTAGCTCTTGGAGGGTGGTGGAAAATATCTTAAATATTACAATGATTTGTGACCCCCAAAGGGCTACAGAACAGAAACAGATACACAGTATGTTTAAGGCATTAAATTTTTCCTGGGAAGGGTGTGGGGAGGGTAAGCAAATCAGTATATCCATACCATGGAATACTCAGCAGTAAAAGGGAATGAATTATTATTGTTGTTGTTATTATTATTATTATTATTATTAATTTTGAGACGGAGTCTCGCTCTGTCCCCCAGGTTGGAGTGCAGTGGCGTGATCTCCACTCACTGCAAGCTCCGCCTCTCGGGTTCACGCCATTCTCCTGTCTTAGCCTCCCGAGTAGCTGGGACTACAGGCGCCCGCCACTGCGCCCGGCTAATTAATGTATTTTTAGTAGAGACGGGGTTTCACCATGTTAGCCAGGATAGTCTCGATCTCCTGGCCTCGTGATCCGCCCGTCTCGGCCTCCCAAAGTGTTGGGATTACAGGCGTGAGCCACCGCGCCCGGCCGGGAATGAATTATTGAGGTGCACAACTTGAATGGATTATAAGGGCATTATGGGGAATGAAAAAAGTGAATCTCAAAAGGCGATGTGCTGTATGATTCCATTTATATAACATTCTTGAAATAATAAAAGGCTGAACAGATGAGTGGCTGCCAGAGGTAAGGGACAGGGAGAGAGGAGTGGGTGTGGTTATAACCTAGTCACATGTAAGGCCAAAAACAAATGGAAAATGAGGCTTAGTTCTCCTTGTTGAAAATAAGGGAAGAGACTTCTCCTCCCCTTTGCTTAGAGTATTTAGTTTAGAACATTTGTAATTTTAAGTTCTTTGAAATGTTATCTCTTCGAAATGTAGATAAATCTTTTAAAAAGTGAAATAAGCCTCTTGCCAGCTTTAGGACCCAGAAGTGTCTTTCTTAAGAACCTGGGAACCATCTCTTTGACATGTAATTAACAAGGAAGAGGAAGTCCCTAGTCCCAGTTTCTGGGAGAGGATGGGAGCCTAGCTTCCATGGGGCCCTGCTAGAAAGATAAGTTTGTTTTTCCTTTGGATAAAGCCAATTAGCTAACACAGTTGGTCACCTCCATTACCATGTCGATTTAGGATAAACTATGTGTGACAAATGATGGTGTCAAGTCCTCTTACTTGAGACTAGCCATTATTTACTCTGAGAACATGAATGAAATGGCTTGGATCTGGTTGGCTCTATAGGAGGGGCAGACTTCCTTCTGTCTTTGCAATCTCTCAGCAGATTGCCTGTGATGTGCATTACATTCTGGTTTAATGCTTATTCAATAATAAAATTGTTTTCTTTCTCTTCTACCTTTGTGGATAGATTTTCTGGGTTGGAAGGAGATTTTGTTTTTAATTTTATTTCCCCAGGAAGCATGAGGAATCCTTGTGGTAATGGAATAGTTCTGAATCTTAATTGCAGTGGTGGGTTCACAAATCTACATGTGATAACACCGCACAGAACTGCACCACACACATACACACACGCATAGAAAAGTGGTGAAATCTGAATAAGCTCTGTGGCCTGTACCAACGTCAATTTCATGGATTTGATGTTGTACTATAGTTATACGAGATGTTATTGTTGGGAAAACACTTTTTAAAAAATTCCCTGTAAATCTATAATTATTTCAAAATAAAAAGTTAAAAAGTATATATCAAACTATTCAAGGAGATTCCATTTTATATATAACAAATAAAAATATTTCATGGAGAGTATTAGGAAAAAAGGTCTAAAATGGATTTTTAGGGAGTGATAATGGAAAAGGTTGACAAATACTGTTTGCAAAGGGCTAATCCTTAGCTAGGTCTAGGGCCCAGCAGGGAAGGTTAATGTGTGCCATGGCCCAGTGAGGCACAGGAGGTGAGAGTGGAAGTGTGACAAATTGGGAGAGGAGCAGGGTCCGCTGACAGCCCTCCCAGTTGTCCGAATTCTAGAGCAACAAAGCCAACTCTGTACTTGGCTCCTGAGCCACGAGTGGTCCACCCTGCCCTACTCAAGGGAACCAGCTTGGCTCTGCACGTACCATCATATTCACAGAAACCCCACCCCACTCCTCTCCTAGGCTTTGATAAGGTGCAGCGTGGGAACCCAGTAAGCAGGTGGAGACACATCATTGCTTCCAGTGGGCAGCCCGGGGCTGGCAGGAGAAGGCAGAGGCTAAGAGACCATCTTAGCAGCTGGGCAGGCCTGGGTTCAAATCCTAGCTCTGTGCTTGCCTTGGGACATGCACTTCACTTCTGTAAAACTAAAATTTAGATGACAGCGGCATCATTCTCCCCCCACCCTCATTGTGGGAGGATTTAACAAGACAACAGTGCAGGTTAACAGTGTGGCACAGGCTTAGTATGAGTCCAATAAGTGGTAACTGATGTTACTAATTATGATCATCCTTGGTGCTAAGGTTCACTTTTAGCATCTGGTACTTGAACCAGGCTTCTGCAAAACAAATAATCGCCAGTGGGCTTTGGTGCTCCCAGTCTCTCCCATGACACCGTTCTCCCCCACATTAGAGCTGCCTCTTAACCAACCTAAGGGCTCTCTAGCCACATATATGATTCTTCCTTAGAACATATTCTCATGCACATTTGCATTTGGAAAGAAGAGCACAGGGGGATGGCAGCTGTCATGGTCAGGAATAGACCGTTAAAACAGGACTTTCAGGGGTGATAAGGGAGGACATATTGGGATTTTGCCTTCCTATCCCATCCTTTATTTATAAGCTGAGAAGCTCTCTCCTCCAGAGACCCTCACTTGGCTCCCACCTCTGTGGCACCACATGCTCCTGACTTTTCCAGAACCTTTTGGCCACCCCTCTCCCCCACTCAGATGCTGGGGTATTTGGGGGCTCCATTCTGAATCTGCCTTTCTTCCTGCTCACTAGACACACTTCCTAGGAATCTCCCCATTTCCTGTGATTGCAATGATCATCTGATGACTCTCAAGTCACTTTCTCCAACCTCTCTCTCCCTCCGAGGTGCCCAGCAGTGGTTCCGGTTCCCTACTGGCTGCTCTTCGCAGATGATACACAGAAATCTCACATTCGGTAGCCACGGGAAGCAGTCGAACTCCTTTCCTTTCCCTCTCCTCTCACCAAGACCTCGCTTCTCCTCCTGAGTTTCCTGTCTCAGTCCCCTCTCCTTACCTTGTCATCCAAGTAAGATTTAGAGGTCCCCTCAACCCCACGCCCATATCCAGTCAATGCCTAAGTCTTGACCATTCCATTTCTGGAATATTCCTTGAACCAGTTCGCCCTGTCCCCACTGTCATCACCATTGCTTACAGCACCACCATCTCTCACCTAGAATTACTCCACCAGCTTAAAAAAAATTGTAGAGATGGAGTTTCACCATGTTGCCCAGGCCGGTCTCAAATTCCTGGCCTCAGGCCATCCTTGGCTTCCCAAAGTAATGCGATTATAGGAATGAGCCACTGCACCTGGCCCTCCAACAGCTTCTAAAAAACTGATCTCTCGAATCTACTCTCATCATCCCCAAGTTCCTGTCCCCTCAGAGCTCCGCAAGGCAGCCAGAGGGATCTCTTAAAGATGCGAAGTCGATTAGGCCACACCTCTGGTTGCCCTCAGGATGAAGTCCAAAAACCTTAATAGGTCAGTCACCTGATAGCTCACCTCCTGGGCTCATCTTGCCTCTCCTAGCTTCCTGCTTCTTTGCCTTATCTCTGTCTTTCTCCTTTCTGTACCTCAGAGGCCATGTTCTTGCCCCTGGGCTTCTGCACACAGCGCCCTTCTGCACATGCACCCCACATACTCTGCACACAGCGCCCTTCTGCACATGCACCCCACATACTCTGCACACAGCACCCTTCTGCAAAGGCATCCTGCGCACCCGGAGCTGCCTTACCTCAGCAGGCTCATCCTCTGGCACTTCCTCAGTTATTATGTCAAAGTGATCGAGCGTTTCACATTTGTTATAGTCTTTGTCTGTGTTTTTCCTGGCTTGATTCAAGAACGTTTCATACTTTTCATTCGCTGTGCCGGGGTAGGGAGTAGGGGTTGGAAGGACAGCAGAATCAGGAAGGTCAGAAAAATATGAATGATGTCCCAAACACAGACTCTCAGCCCCTGGTAAGGTGGGAAGGGAAGTGGACTTTTGGATACTTCGTCTGCCCTGCTTTCCCTGCTTCAGAGGGTGAGGTGATGTGAGAGTTGAATTTGTATCAGAGACCTCACTGAGTTCAGTGAGATTAGGCTTTACTGAATGACTGGCTGGTTCTCCAGAACTTGAAGGCAGTAACATTCGAAGCCACTCGTAGGGTGACCCACTTGATCCTGGCTTGCTTGGGGCTTTCTTGGTTCTAGCACTTAAACCACTACACCCTGGAGCTCTCCCAGTGCTGGACAAACCCAGCCAGCCAGTCACCCTTTAAGCCACTTTTTACGTTTATTAAATCTCAATTAACAAAAAATGTTTGGGTCAATTTGCTTTAATTAACACTAAATATGCCACATCATCCTGAATCAGGGAGGGTAGGTAATCAGTGGAGAGATTCCCACCTGAATTTACCACTATGCCATTGCAAATTCAAATACTTTGAAAGGTAAGGTAGGAAAGTTATTTAAAATGCCTACTATAGGCCAGGTGTGGTGGCTCACACCTGTAATCCTAGCACTTTGTGAGGCTGAGGCAGGTGAACTGCCTGAGCTCAGGAGTTCAAGACAAGCCTGGGCAACATGGCGAACCCCATCTCTACAAAAAATACAAAAAATTAGCTGGGCATGGTGGTGTATGGCTGTAATCCCAGCTACTGGGGAGTCTGAGGCATAAGAATCGCTTGAGCCCTGGAGGTGGAGGTTGCAGTGAGCTGAGATCCTGCCACTGAACTCCAGCCTAGGTGACAGAGCAAGAATCTGTATAAATAAATAAATACATACATACATAAATGCATAAATACATAAATAAAAAAATTTTAAAAAGCCTATTATAAAACAGTAGGAAATGCTGTGAATATAGTGAGCTGGAGAACAGAAGACCCAACTAATGGTGTTCAAGTTTAAATTATTTTAAAGCCCTTACTGGCCAAACCATGTCTACTGCCCTGATGAGGCCAGCTGGGTGCCCAGTTTTCAACTGTACGGCAAAGGTTTTCCTTCCCGAAAATTATATGTGGAGCTGGAGTAACCCTCATCTGGCTGGAACTCTATATACGAGAGTGTAACATGGTCTTAGTGTTAGTGACATTTATTGCCAGGCACTGTGGCTCAACACCTGTAATCCTAGTGCTTTGGCAGGCTGAGATGGGAGGATCACCTGAGACCAGGAATTCAAGACTAGCCTGGGTAACAAAGTGAGATCCCTTCTTAAAAAAATAAAATAAAATAAATTAGCCAGGCATGGCAGTGCACACTTGTAGTCCCAGCTACTCAGGAGGCTGAGGCGGGAGGATCCCTTGAGCCTAAGAGTTAAGATTACGGTGAGCTATGATTGCACCACTGTATTTCAGCCTGGGTAACAGAGTGAGACCTTTTTAAAATAGAGACAGGGTGTTGTGTGTGTATATATATACACACACACATATATACACACACACACACATATATATACACACATATATATATATTTTTTCAAGTTTTCAGGGAGCAGACAATTAGAATTCAGTGGATGATTATAAACAGGAGAGTTAGTGACTTCGGGGAATGAGGTAAGAGGAAAGGCTGGGTGGGAGGACTTAGTCTGAAGCTTTCTGGGGAAAGTAGATTTCAAGGAGCTTGAAGAGAGATTCATAGAGTGAGAGATTTCCCTGACCCATCGTCCTATAACTGACGTCAGGAACAAAGAGCAAGTGACAGTCTATAGCTAAAAGGGCTGCTCAGCTGGGGTTTGGAATCCGCCAAGACAGAAATATTCTGGTACAAAAGGCTAGTCCTGGGGTCCAGATACAACCGGAAAATGTAAGTGGGAAGACAATTACTAAAGTCTAATTTAGACTTCACCCTGTGTAATGCCAACATAAGGGCTCAGAATCTGTGTCTGCCTTTCTGTGCAGTTTATACTTTGAGAATTCTATGCCTGGAAGCTCATTGGCTCTCACCTTCCCAGTGGTGTCTAGGAGAATGTCACAGGGAAAGGAGACTGGGGCCAGAAGGAAAGTACATGGGAGGAGGAAAAGCCTTTAGAGGTAAATTTCCTGATCCCTCTGTCAGTAATTCAATAATGGCCAAATTGGCCACGGTTCTTCAGTTGGGGCTGCCATAGACCATTTCTTATCTCGGCAAACTCAGGTCACCAATTTGGCAATTGACAAATGACATGGAAGAGAACCACTGGGGATTTCCAAGCAAATAAAGTAAGTAGCCAGCAACCTTCCAATAAGCAAAGTTAAAATGTTCGTTTTGTCCCCCAGTGGGGAACTACTCCAGTGTGAAGTAGTACCTGTGAGGTTCCTGGGGAGATCGAGGCAGATTTGGGGAAAGATTCCCTCTCCACTCAGAGTGATATTTTCTGGGTCCAGGTGGGCGATCTGTATCTGGAAACTCCTTTTAAAGACCTCCGGAACTCCAGGAAGGTAGTAAACTTTCAATGCCTGCTCTTGATGTGAACTGATAAAGCCCTACGCAGTAGAAAGACCAGGAAAGGGAAAACGAATGTGCTACAGGCTCAACTCATTAAATTACTTAAAACAACAACGATAATGACAGAGTAAACCTAAAAAAAGAAGGAAAGGAGTAAGAGATTTAATGAAATAGAGTGCAAAGAAACAGAAGAGCTTCATACATCTAAAAACTGGTTTTTTGAAAAAAGATGAATAAAATACACAAAACTGGTAAGACTGATTAAGAAGATAAGGAGAAAAGTCACCAAAAATGTAAAAAGAAAAATGGTTCATAAATATATAGTAAAATAGTACATATATGATTATGAGAAAACTTTATGTCAATATATTAAAACATTTTTGTGAAATTAACAATTTCCTAGAAAAATATGAATAACGAAATGTAAAAACCCTGGAGTGATCTGTATCCTATATAGAAGCTGAAAAATGAAGATAATTACCCTGACAAAGGAATATATGGCATTTGAAGCAAGTTCTGCCACTCCTTCAAAAAACATATAATCAATTTAGTTTACGAGCCATTCAGGAAATAGAAAAGACAGAAATGCCCATTTTTTAATTCTGATATCCAAACTGATCAAATGCAGCATGAAGAAGGAAATTTATGAACCAACGATCACTTAACAAAGGAACAAAAATTGTAAGTAAAATGTTAGCTAAGTGAACCCAGCAATATATGTATATTTAAATGCAGATGGTAGCATATAGAGTTTTTTTGGTCTTCCTTTTCCTTTCATTTTACCTAACAATATATTTTACAATTAATTCAATATTAGTACATCTAGAGCTGCTCCATCCTTTTTAGTTGCTATGTATTATTCCATTACATAGTTCTAATATATTTTTAAAAACTAGTTTCCTACTGACAGACATTTAGTTTGTTTCTGACCTTTTGCTATTGCCATTACAGATTATATAGGAAATAATCTTATAAACACATCATTTTGCAAATGTAGGAAAACGTATGTAGAATAAATTCTTAGAAATGAAATTGCTGGGTCAAAGTGTAATTTTGATAGATAAGGCCAAATTATTCTCTACAGAGTTGTTATCAATTTACAATAACTGCAGCAATGTAAATTCAAATGCTTTAAAAAACTTTAGAAAAGGGCAAGGAAAACATAGCAGTTATGATAGATACAAAGATGGAATAGAAACAAAACTCTAAGGAAATTTTAAAAATAGACAAATGAAATACGACAAAAGAAATAATAGCAAGCATTTCAGTTTTGCTAATCATAAGAATGTGTTAAACGTTCCTACTGAAACTTAAGGACTCTCAGAGTAGATTAAAAAACAAAATCCCAATACATATGTTTTATGAATGATTAGCCTAAAACAAAATGACATAGACTATGGGCAAATTATGTACATAACGCAAAAAGAAAGCAGCAATCACAATATTAAGACCAAACAAAGCGGAATTCAAAGCAGAGCATTCAAAGGGAACAAGAAGGCAACTGAAGGCAGACAGAACACACAGTCCATGATGAACACTTAATAGTCATGAGATCTTCTGTGTCAACACAGAAACAAAAGAGTATAAAACAAAAAGGTGCATGTATTTGTAGAAAACAATAGAGAAATGGACAAAAGTTTTATATACCACTCTTGAGTCTTAGAAAAATTAAACAGAAAAAGATACAGAAGATTTTAATGTTATAATTATTCAGGTTAATTTAGTAGAGATTCCAGATATGATAATCTGGATTCTATAGCCCAGGTAACATTATTTTCAAACATTTATTAGTATTAAAAATCACTTTAGGTCATTAAAATATATTAATAAATTCACTAAGTAGGAATTTAGAGGACCATATTATCTGATCATGATTCAAAAAACCTCAATATTAGTAACAATTTAAATAACAAAAGCAAAAATCTTAATCATTTGGAAATTAAATAAAGAAAAATGTATTTTAAATTATACTTGTAAGTAAAACTATAATTTAAGACAACTATAATTTAGATAATGAAAATTATAATAGTTAAATATTAACATGTATAAAACACATAAAATTGACATCTACTTTATCTGTAATTTTCTTAAAATATAAGGGATAAGGCTAAAGGTGTCCTTAGGCAAATGGATAGCCTTACATTTTTTCATTATTAACTAAGAAAAAAAATAAAAGTAGGCATTCAAGTCAGGAAGTTAGAGAAACAAAACACAAGAGTGAATTTGGGCCGGGTGAGATGGGGCTCATGCCTGTAATCCCAGCACTTTGGGATGCGTTCAGGAGTTCAAGACCAGCCTGGGCAACATGGCAAGACCCTGTCTCTAAAATAAATAAATAAATAAATAAATAAATAAATAAATAAAATAATAAACACAAAAATTAGCTGGGTGTGGTGGTGCATGCCTGTGGTCCCAGCTACTTGGGTGGCTAAGGTGGGAGGATTGCTTGAGCCCAGGAGGCAGCGGTTGCAGGGAGTTGAGATCTGCACTCCAGTCTAGGCGACAGAGCCAGACCTGGTCTCAAAAAGAAAAACAAAAAAACAAAAAACCAAAAAAAGTGAATTCAGAAGATTAGCTAAGACAAATTGGGAAAAAACCAAAAGGGGAGTTGACCTAACAGATATTAAGATGTATTTTTAAAGCCATAGCAACTAAAATAGTATAGCATTAATGTAGGGACAGACAGAGCAATGAAGAATAAAGAGACCAGCAGTAAACCCAAATATGTGAGATAATTTAGGGGAAGAACAGACTTTATCATCAAAGACGATGGTGCTCATTATCTTTGGATTTACAAGATTATGAATAATTACACTTTAAAAATATTTTCCATTTTTTTCTATAACAATTATGTGCTATTTTCATAATGAGAAAAATTCAGCAAATGTTCCTTAAAACTGGTCGATCAACATAATATGAACAAGGAACCACTTTCTCTGTTTGCTTCTGAAACCAGTTTGGCTCAGCGCAGTCTGCTGGTGTTTCACACCTGCTGAAGTCAGTGGAGAGGAAGCCCGTGGGAATTACAAGGGCAGTGTGAAGACATCGGTGGAAATAAACTAGTCTCATTATCATGGAAAATAAATCCATGCGTTGCATTTGTCTTGTTGATTGCTATATCCCTGGTGCCTGGAAACTGGCTACTGAGGGACTAAATATTTGTTTAATAAGTGAGTGAAGTGGCTTGGATTTATTATTATTTTTTTTCTGCTTCTGAGAGTTCTTCAGTTTTAATAAAAAGAAAAAGTCACACTTGTAATCCTGGCCATGAATACTCACCTGCATCGGGGTGGGACTTGTAGGTTTGAATTCGGGCCCCTCCCACTGTTTACTTACGGAGAGAGGCAGGATTAGTGGCACTCCAGGGAGAAGGTTGTCTGGAGAAGACTGGGGGTCAGTCAGAACTTTGAACTCAAAGCCGACTTTCCCCGTGTTCGTCAGCGTGATTTCCCTCTCTGTGACGTGGTCAAACAGCTTGAAAGAGAAGGAGATGAGTGACTCCTTTGCCACCCACTCTTGGGACGTGGCTTTGATCGTGCGAAAGGTGCAGAAACACGCCTCATGGATAAAGGTGTGACAGCTCCTGATATAAAAACTGGTCAATCTACATCTCAGCATCACAACAAATGCCTACTGGGGCACTAGACTCTGGAAACCTGGCTCTTAGTTCTTCTAAGAACCAATTTAGTTTAGGTATGGCTGTGGGGCTGAGCATTTCACCTTCCTGGGTCTCAGTTTTTTCACTACAGGAATTTGTAATAGAGAATCTTAAAGTAAGATTTCTACATTAAAAACATTTGCCTTCTGGATTCTGTACTGTAAGAAAAACAAAAGATTTGAGTTTAGAATGTTCTAGAATGAATTTTTCCATTCAGATGGAGAACCATGGGTGTAACAGGCCAGTCATGTTCTTTTTCTTGGAATTTTGCTAACATAATTCACCAGCTGGGTTAGCAGGCCCAATAACCACAAACAGGCCGCTTTGGGGGTCCTTAGGAAAAGCTAGGGTGAGGACTGACTGCTTCAAAGACTATACTCAGAGGAGCCAAAACCAAGTGCCCAAAGGACCCTGAGACGAGGAAGGAAAGAGAATTCTATTTGGTCAGCATCATGGAGATGGTCTCAGTAGGTGCTAGGTGAATCAGATTTTAGGCACAATCTTTGATCTATAAACACACATGCATGTGCACGATTCAGTAATTATACATGAAGGAGCTATGTAATGGAGATTCAATCCTCATTGAAATTTGGTAGGAGATATGGTCTCCAAGTGCATAACACAAAATCTGATTGGGAAGAGAATGTGTACTGATGGAATTGACAATTATTCCAAAACAAAAATGGGAAAGTATATTATATTATGGCAAAGATTATCATTAAGTGCCAAGGGAATGTAAAGTAAAAGATAACTGTGGAAGGAGCTGAGCTGGGTCTTATGGGATATAGAGGTTTGGGCTTGGTAGAGTGGAGGATGGGAAAGATAAGGTAAGAGAAAGTGTAACCTCATGAAAGGCTGGGGTGCACTGGGGCCAGTGGATAGACCAGCTTGGCCACAGTGAAATGTAGGGACTATAATAGGGAATTATGGGAAGTAAAACTTACAGTGTAAAGATCACCAGTTAATACAGAGGCTTAGGATAGCCTCACCCAGGTGGAGGAATGGGCTCTGACCCAAAGGAACTCATGACAACGGATAGCCAACTCTGATCCAGCACAGCACTGACCAGACGCTTTAAGCAAGGACAACTCCTGGTGGGATAGGCCTGCTACTCCATTCCCACCTTACAGATGAGGGACACTGAGGCTTGGAGAGGTGATGTGTCCAAGATCATGCAGTCAGGAGGAAGTAAAACTGGAATCTGAAGAGGAAGTAAAACCAGAATACAAAGAGGAAGTGAAACCGGAATATGAAGAGGAAGTGAAACTGGAATACGAAACCATGCTCTCTGGTGAATATCACGTTGCTTTGCCAAATGCTGCTGGGCTTAATTGGTCAGGGACTGATGGGATGACAACACCATTTTGGAAAATGTCACTGGACTGACTAAATCAGAATCTGCACTTGAACAAGACTCCCAGGTGATTCAGAGGCACATTACAGTGTGGGAGGAACTCCTGTAATAATTTAGGCATGGCTTGATGAGACCCTGCAATGTGATATCAGTGGCAATGGGAAGAGAAAACTGACTCAGAGAGGGACCCTGGTGATGAGTCAGCAAACCCTGGATGCTTAGAAGGATGTGGAGAGGTGAAGGAGAGAGTGCAGAGGAAAAGCCTTGGAGATTGTGAACCCAAGGGTGGAGAAAATGGTAGTGCTATTGAAAGAAATGCAGAAGTTGGAACAGGCTCCTGGGTTGAAAGTGAAGAAGTGACCTTGAGCATCTAACATGCTCAGTTTCAGGAGACGATAAGAAAAGCAAATGCAAGTAGCTGGCAACAGTTGGCAGCAGGAGGATGGTCAGGGTTAGGGAGGCAGATGGGAGATCAAGGACAGGGGTGATGGCAAGACTACGATGACTGGGGTTCAGGAGAGATTTGTTTAAGATGCTTAAGGCAAAACCAGAAAATCTCCACCCGATGGTTTGCGATACCTGTAATCCATAGTGAATATCCTTGGTGTCAAAGGAATAGTTGACCAGGGACGCCTCTCCCTTTAGTGTTATTTCGTAGGTGGGTCCTTCTTCCACTTCACACAGAGCTTTAGCTTGTGCAATGATGTTAGAGTGTCCATAGAAGGTGAATGACATTTGGTGGCTACTGTGTGGCTGCAACACTCCAAACAGGGGCAAAATATCAAACACCTGCAGAGAAAGTCATTCTATAAGAGAGCAGCTGATGGGATGAATCCCTGCCAAGGGTAAGTGAAAGTTATGTCAATTTACACATTAATTCCAGTCTTTAACTCATTTGATAGAAGGTAGCCTGGCACCCTGAAAACACACAATGGTAATGATGGTAACAGTGCTCTGGTGAGATTTAAGTTTCTAATGTGCGGCAGGTGCTCAGTTAGAAAGAAAAGTTAGTGTCTGATAAGGTCAGGATTCACACCGTGTCACTTACTTCTTCTATCCCGATGGAAAGCATCTCATTCTGTTCACAGGTCTGTAGGGATTCCTGATCCTCCACCTGGCTCTGGCTTGAGTATATTCTTTCTATTTCAGCAGAGCTAATTTTTATTTCCTAGAAATTAAAGATGTGAGGAAAAGCTGGCAAGCATTCAAAATGGATCATCAACTGACAGAAAAATAAAGTATGTTGTATACAATTATAAAAATAGTACATTTTTTCCCCAGGGAGGTAATTGAGCAAGTGACTATAATGTACACACAAGGATATTTATGGCAGCATTACTTATAACAGCAAAACTTTGGAAGACAACTCGGTGCCCATCAATAGGTGGTCACTTTAAAGGAAGTGTGTGTGGTACGTCTATCCATGAAGGATAATGCATGTATATTTATGGATGGGAATGATGTGCACAATATATTATTGAGTGAAAACAGTTCCATTCATGTGAAATTACATATGCCTCATGTGTCTGAAGGTGTGTGTGTGTAAATTCCTTCAGAGATTTGCATAGGCAAATAGAAATATCTGGGAAGTTGTTTGCTAAGAATTTCATTAGAATTTTTCTCAGTGGGGTAGAAAGAAGATAGGAGTTTTGAGGATGTTTGCTTTAATTTTTCTGTATTCTTGAGTTTATATGTACACATACGTACATATGTTTGTACACATATATTTTATTTTTGAGACAAGGTGTCTGTCACTGTCACCCAGGCTGGAGTGCAGTGGCATGATCAGAGCTCACTGCAGCCTCGAATGCCTGGGCTCAAGTGATCTTCCCACCTCAGCCTTCCTAAAGTAGCTAGGACTGCAGTCGTGTACCACCACACCCTGGGGTCTCGTTATATTGCCCAGGCTGGTCTTGAACTCCTGGCCTCAAGCCATCCTCCTGCCTTGGGTCCCAAAGTACTGGGGTTACAGGCGTGAACCACTGTTTCTGGCCTATTCTTGAGTTTTCTATGACAAGCATCTTTGAAAATAGAAAAAGAAGAATTAACATTTAAAAGACAAATGTTTTACATACTCACACATACTCATTCTAAAAAAATTTTAAAATACAGAAAGCTCCAAGGAAAGAAAGAAAAATCCATCTCAGGTTATACTGTAGATAAATATTATTATATATTATATATGTGTATATAAAATATATTATATATGTGTATATAAAATATATTATATATTATATAGGTATATATGTATATATAAAATATATTATAAATATATATGTATATATAGACTGTGTATTATGTGTGCATATATACTTGTATTCTGATTTTTCAGTTGACCTAATATGAGTGCCATCTTCCATATGACTGAACATTCTTCACAAACATCACTTAAAGTATTTTAGAAAGTTGATTGTACACGATACAAATTTAAAACATTCAAAAGGATATACGGTAAAAAAATTTTTAAAAAAGACTCCTATCCCTACAGTTCTCCGGTTCCCCCCTCCTAAGGTACCCACTGTCCAGTTTCCTATATGTTCAATTAGTTATTCCTCTTCATTCAGCTAATATTTACTGGGGACTTACTAAGAACCAGTTCTATATCCTGAGGATATGATAGTGAACAAAACAGAAAAAAATTCCTGCCCTCATGAAGATTAAATTCCAGAGATATTCCAAGCACAAGCAAAGATGCCTATGTAACTGTTTGAGAGGTAACACAGTAGCTAAGAGTAAGCCAGATGGTCAAGTCTTCCAGCTCCCTGGCTTGATGCACATGTCCCTGCATTGGTAAAATGGGGAAAGATGGTGGCACCCACCTCACAGGGGTGCTGGGAGAAGTAAAACAGTTAATGTAAAAAACTGCTTTGCTGGGGCTGTGGCTCACGGCTGTAATCCCAGGACTTTGGGAGGCTGAGGCAGGTGGATTACCTGAGCTCAGATGTTCAAGTTCAGTTTCACCCCAGGCAACATGGTGAAACCCTGTCTCTACTGAAATACAAAAATTAGCCAGGCATGGTGGCAGGTGCCTGTAATCCCAGCTATTTGGGAGGCTGAAGCATGAGAATCGCTTGAACCCAGGAGGCAGAGGTTGCAGTGAGCCAAGATGGTGCCACTTCACTCTGGCCTGGGCAACAGAGTGAGACTCTGTCTCAAAAAACAAACAAACAAACAAACAACAACAACAACAAACAAACAAACAAACAAACCAAAGCTTAGATCAGTGCTCAATAAGTGTTGGTTGCTTTAATAGACATTTTTCTTTATACAAATGGTAGCACACAATGTACTTTGTTTTGTTTTGCACTGAGTATTTTTTCTTAATATATCAGAGATTGTGCCAAATTAGTATGTAGAGAACTTTCTCATTTTTTAAAAAGAATTTCATAGTATTGCCTTGTGCAGATGTAATTTAGTTTATTCAGACGGTCTCCTATTGGTGAAATTAAGTTGTTTCCAGTATTTCTTGCTTTTACAAACAAAGCTGCAGCGTACAAGGATGGTTACATGCTTTATGCAAATGCGGAGGTGTATCTGGAGGATAATTTCTAGAAGGGGGACAATGCATTTTAAATTTTGATATACTTGCCACGTTGTATGTTATAGAGGTTATGCCAATTCATACTCCTACCCACACCGTAGGAAAATCCCGCTCAACACTATTTTAAAAGATTGCATCACATCATGGACATAAAGCAATTTATCTTTCATTATTTTTTCATTTTTTTTCTATTTCTAAATGTTGTAACAAGCATCTTTGTATGCACATCTTTGTATCTCCAATAGTTTGCTTAGGCCATCATTCTAGAAGGAGAATTTAAGGGTATTAATTTTTAAGCTCCCTCTGTTTTTGCTACAGAATTATTAAGAAAATATTTTTCCTTTAGTATCCTCTATGTAGGGTGTAGGGACATCACAGGATCACCAAGGTTTAGGGATAACTGGCTTTTCCGTTGTAGAGAAGATATATGTGCTGAGGTGTCCTGGGCTCTCACTGAGTATTGGCTCTGGGTGTTTGGCTGGGAAGAAATGTGGGTAAAGCTATATGGCTTTGTCTCAACTAAACCCAAGCATTGCACTGGCCACTCTGCTCCTGGTTCTGCCTTTGTTTTATGGGAAGGACCCTTGACCTGCCTACCCTCCCCAGGGAAAGGACACCATACATCTGAGATCACACTGGACGCCTTCGTTTTTCTTGGTTCTTTTTCTTCAGGCCTGGCATCTTCATCCACAAGGATAGTCCTGAGAAGTTTAATGAGATGCAGAGATTCACTCATTGGGCCGTCATCACCACAGTCTCAGGTGCATAACTGCCCTGTCTTCCTCTTCTCCCTCTACCACACCCCCATACATAAGGGGGCTTCTCAATCAAGGGACACCTTTCTCAAGAGGTCAGCTGGTCAGGGCTCTGCTGCCCTATGCCCCCAAACATGTGGTCTAGGCCACTGAACTTGTCAATTTTTCACGGGGCTCAACCCTTCTTTACTGGCCCATCAAGCCCATGTCCAACTTACAAAAAGTCCTAGGAAGCTCTAGCAATTCTTCAGACAATGTTGTTTCCCTATTTATTGGAGCATTTTATTGTTATTAATGTTGTTTCCCTATTTATTGGAGCATTTTATTGTGAGGATATAATGTTTGGCGAATTGTTATGTCCTTTCGTGCTTGCTACCCTGGACCCAATACTGGCTGTAGATCTTGGACATATGTAGACCTTGGACAAATATGATAGGAAGGGCTCAGTCCCCCAGGACTCATGATGGTACCTCCTCCCTATCCTGTATGTCTACTCTGGGGCCTACACATAGAAAACACTTATTAAACTGTTGACTGGTGACTGGATGAATGAACCAATGAGGGATGAATATTGAGAATGTAAGGCCGTGTAAAGAAAAGAAAAGCTACCACAAAAAATCCATGTTGGCTTTGCATTTGCACTTACTTAACAAAACCATTTAAATCCATCTCGGGGATTGCTGGTGAGCTGGCAGTCTCTGAGGTTGTTGGGATGGACTCCATCTGGGCCAGTGGGGCACTGTAGGGCTTCTTCGGCAACGTCACAAACCTACCAAGGCATGGGACAGGGAATGGGGGGAGACAGGAGACATCAGTTTTTGCAAATCAGTGCTCAGTGGGCTCTCAGTTTCTAAGGCCAAACTCCAAATCCCAGACCAGGCAGGTCTCGCAGGGACCACCTTACACCCTCCCTTGAACTTGCCTTCTTCAAATCTCAGCTAAGGTTTCACTTGCTCTTAAAAAGTTTTCTGACTACCAGCCTCGGCCCAATTTCTTTCCTCTAAGTATCTACAGCCCCCTGGGCTTCCCCTTTCACACTTATTTTTACCATCCCTGCTAGATGTGGACTCGCTGAGGACTGGTATCCAATATGGTATCCAATCCAGAGCCTGGCCTGGAGTAAGTAGTCGGCATGGTCGTGAATGAATGAACCACTGGGGATCCTGCTCCCAGATCACCAGAAAGCAGGGCTAAGACTCAGCTGAGGCCTGGGAAGCACTCTCTGTTAGGGGCCTGGAAGTGCAGGCTCGGGTTTCTTACATGACCTTGCCTCCTAAATGTGACCTTAGTGCCTTGCTGGCCATACCCTAGTCCTGGTCCCACCACTAAGCTGTGCTGCCACTCGAGTTCTCTGAGCAAAGGAACCCAGGGGAAAAGAAGCAATTGTACCAGCTGGTGCTGAAGCCCATATGTCCAGGTTCCAGTGATTAAAAAGCTCTTTGGATGTGACAAAGGCCAAGGTGGTGGGGTCACCCCGATTCTTCCTGTTTCTCCTTGGTACGTGGCTTTTTCTGGAGCCATCTCTGCCCTTCCCCAACCTATCTCAAGCCCTTGATGTTAATTTCAATCCATTTCACTTATATATTCATTCTGGCCCCATCTGTACTCAGAGGCTCAGCACAAATGTCATCCACTATGTGAAGCTTCCACCACTGGCCCATCTCCCTCCCTTGGAAGCTTCACAGCATTTCAGCTGCACTTCTTTTAGGACCCTGTCCACTCTAACCACCTCCTAGAGGATCATTTCCTAAATTTCAGGCATCCCACTACCATCCTCGTGATTTGTAAGCACACACTTTGATGAGTTATATACACATCTGTGGAACTATCACCACATTAACACACAGAATGTTTCCATCATCCTAAAAAGTTGCCTTGTGCAAATACTCATCTGCTTAATATCACTAGAGATTAATTTGCCTACGCTTTCATAGAAATGGAATTGGGAATATGTACGAATGTGTGTCTGACCTCCTCTGTTTGGCGTGATGTTTTTGAGATCCGTCCATGTTGTTGCATGTAGCAGTGAGCTGTTCTTTTTTTTTTTCAGCAGTATTCCATAGTGTGGATGTTTTCCCACCTTCTTGTTGATGGACACCTCGACTATTTCTAGCTTGTAGATGCTATGAATCAAGTTGCTATGAACATCCGTGTAAAAGTCTTTTTGTAGACATATGTTTTCATTCTTCTTGGGTAAACTCCTTGGAAGCGAATTGCTGGGTTGTATGGTATATGTATGTTTAACATTACAGGAAACTGCCAACCAGTTTTCCAAAGTCGCTGTACCACTTTACACTACCACCTGCATTGTATGAGAGTTCCAGTTGGTCTGCATTCTCATCCACACTTGGTATTTAGTCTTTTACATTTTAGCCATTCAAATGAGCATAGGGTGATATCACATTGTGGGGTTCATTAATAGGCTATGTCATTACTATAAATGAAAACACAGTATCACCTCTCATATTTAGAAAAATCAACACAATGGAAAAAATCAATGTAATTATTTTCTTGCCTGGTGAAGGCTCTGAGCTGAGCTCTGGTGGCTCTTTTTAAGAAGGGAAAACACTGGGCCGGCATGATCTTGGCTGGGCTTATTACTGTATGGAAGAAGGATCCACGGTGTCCCCTCTTTACAGACCCTATTGCACAGGGTCTCATACATAGAGCCCAAACTCAACAGATGTTTGATTGATTGAATGCTTGGATGGATGGATGGATGGATGGATGGATGGATGGATGGATGTGTGGATGGATGTGTGGACTGTTGAATGAGAACAGTTGAATAGCATGGAGCACTCACTATGCAGAATAGTCAGCATCTGACTGTCCTGCACCCTCTCTGCCAACCTGGGATAAAGAGTGGGGATGGGAAAGCATGGAGAAGTCACAGAGTATGGAAAAACTCTTTTCATTTTTGGCCTGAGCTTCCATTTGACTTGTTTCAGGCCAAATGTCTCTAGCTGACTTTACCTCTGGCTGAAACCACTCCATTAGGGGCAGAGAACATATGTTGGGCTGGGTGCTAAAAAAATCTCCTGGGAAGGTCGTTAAAATAAAGATTCCTGAACCTCGTCCTCCAACAGATTACAATTCAGCAGGTCTCAGGAGTTAGATTTTTAGCAGTCTTCCCAGGCAATTCTAATGGGCAGCTAGATTTAGGAGCTGCCATGGGTAGGAATGGCAACATGACAGCTGAGAATGGAGCTGATAATTAATATGGGGCTATCACTGCAGCCTTAACAGCTAGGGACAGTGAAAATCAGCCAAGGACAATTCTGAACACTTATTAAATCACCCCAGGTCAGCAGAGACGCCTGGGGAGGCTTTGCCGGCTCGCTGCCCCACATAATAGCACTCTCCCATCCAGCCTTTGCACCCCTGTGAGATGTTGTGCTGCATAAAGAGAAAGCACATGGGAATTTCTGTAAAGGAAAAATACGAAGCTGTAGAGGGTCTTCATACCTGAGGAAAAACAACACGTCACTGGACAATGCTACCTGGACAACTGGGAAGTGAGAGGTCTCTGTGGAAATCAACAGAGGAAGGCAGAGCAGCCCTCCCTGCTCACCACCTGAGCCACAGGAGACAGTGAAACATTTACCGTAATGAGGGCTTTAAGTTATTAAAACTGGAAAACCTGCTCCAAAATATTGAAATAGAATGTTGGTAGAGGTTTTTGGATCAGATTTCCTTTTACCCTCAGGAACAGACGATTACTTTCCTGGTATGCTGACCCAAACAGGAGTAGATTCAGTTATTTTTAAAAGAGAGTGCATAGCAATCAGGAACAATCGATACTGCTCCAATTCCAGAGCTCCTCGTATCAGAATCACGGGAGAAGCCAGGACCTCGTATCAGAATCACGGGAGAAGCCAGGACCTTGTATCAGAATCACAGGAGAAGCCAGGAGAGAAACGCCCCTGTAGCTGCCGGAGAATCACATCATATCAGACACCCACTGATCAGCAGCACTGGCTTTGGGGGCAGTGGCTTCCCTCCTCATGGTTTATTTTCAACTCTGGGGGAAGGATCACCACAACCTTTTGCGCTGCAACGTTAAAAAAAAAAAAAAAAACCCACCATACTTTTTTCCTGTTCTTTCTTCACTGGAAGCAGTGTAGTGCTAAAATAAAACCCTAATGAACAAGCTTGTATTTCAGTTAATGTTCTGTGTTGCAGCTTCCATGATCTTTGCAGATGGGATGGTGGATGCTGGACACCCATTGAAGTCTGTGCAGTGCAGTCTTGTGGGAAAAGGTGGTGGGGTTGGGCAGCCCTGTAGGAGACTCAATAACTTCTAATTCATTCATTCATTAGACTTGGCTTCTGGGAGTGTCCACTACAGAGGATGAAATTAGCCACTGGCTGGACAAGAAGGACCTGCATATGCTGTTTAATACTTTTTAAAAACTGATGACTGCAGCAGGTGCTGCCGGTGCACTTTATTAGGGTGATGCACCCAGGTGCTGTGTGTGTGGCTGTACCTTCCTCTGGAGCATTGCCCTGGCCCGATGGGAGATGCCTCACCCACCCTGAGCTGCCTTCCCTCTCATTAGGGTATGACTTATAGGAAGGAGTGACTGCTAGGGGTGGCGACTATGAGAGCCCAGCCTCCTTGTCTCTGAGTGGGACAAACTGTGATGTAATTTACACTCCACAGCTCCCCACGGAATCAGGCGGAGGTTAGACTTCTGAAATCACATCTTCCCCGAGTTTTCCTCCAGCCCTATCTTGCTTCCCTGAATTTCTTATAGTTTCTCCTGAGAGCCCTCCCTCAATAAATCACCTCAAGAACCACATTCTCAGGCTCTCCTTCTAGGGAATCCACTATAGTGTTGTAGGATTCCAAAGATGAGAAACCCAACCCTTGCTTCACGGAGCTAAGAGGCCAGTGGATCAGAGTCAGAGCCACAGGAATGGCTGTGCTTTAGGGTACAAGTGCTCCAGCAGGGAGCCAGGCAGTGCACAAGGGTTCCGAGCAAGGCTGTGGGGTCAGAGGGCTTGGGTTTGAATTCCAGCTTCCCCACTTGTGCACGATGGGCCTGGGGGCTGTGTTAGTAAGAGAACCCTCTGCATCTGATTGCGGTGAGCCCCAGTTCATGTAAGGAGCCCCGTGGAAGCTGGGTCATAGCAAATGTCCAATAAATGTGAGCTGCTCTTGTGTGGGGTTGGGGAGGATTATCATCATTTTTGGAATTCAAACAAGGGAGACGCTAACTTGTCTTGGATGCATACAGAAGTCTTCACGGAGGAGGATATCGTCTAACTATGCACAAAAGAAAAAATGGTTCTTTTCAAGTGAAGAGTGGAAGGAACGTTTAGGCTGAGGGAAAGGTGCCTGCAAAGCAGCAGTCCCTAACTTTTTGGCACCAGAGACTGGTTTCATGGAAGACAATTTTTTTCCATGGACTGGGTAGGGGTGGTGGGGGGATTCAAGCACATTACATTTATTGTGCACTTTACTTCTATTATTATTACATCATAATATATGATGAAACAATTATACAACTCACCATCATGTAGAATCAGTGGGAGCCCTGAGCTCATTTTCCTACAACTAGACAGTCCCATCAGGGGGTGATGGGAGACAGTGACAGATCATCAGGAATTAGATCCTCATAAGGAGCATGCAACTGGGATCCTTACATGTGCAGTTCACAATAGGGTTTGTGCTCCTGTGAGAATCTAATGCCGCTGCCTATCTGACAGGAGGCGGAGTTCAGGTGGTAATGTGAGTGGTGAGGAGTGGCTGTAAATACAGATGAA